CTGTGGCCCTCTTTTCCCCTCCCTGGGTTTGGCTTTATGCACGATGCAGCAGCCATGAACGTGTGAGACAGCTCAAGTCTCGGAAACAGCGCTCAAAGGCAAGGCACTACCGGGCGATACGAAGGGGAATGTGCTGCCCTCGTTCCTCATCCTGTCCCGTCCCTCGTCCCTGTGGTGCAGATCCGGTACGAGTTTGACTTTGAGCACGAGGCAGCAGCCATGGAGCGAATCAGACACGCACTGTCTCTGCCGAGGGCAAGATGGCAGGGTGAAGGCGGGAGAAGCAGGGGGGGATGCAGAGCAGAGCAGTCGGCGCAAAGGCAGATGCTGTGTGGGCGGTGGTGTTACCAGCAGCGCAGACCTGCAAAGGGGGGCAGGGCAGTAAAGGGGATTATAGCTGGGGAATGATGGGAGGAAGGGGGGGACGAGGTGTGGGGTCCACATGGGAGTGAAGACAATGCGAGGAGTGGAGAGGGGATGGATATTTGTGTGTCACCTGTCATCATACCAGCAGCCATATCAGGTATCGTCACCAGGTGGTAATGGTGCTGCCACTGCTGCCCCATACCTGCTTGATGTTTGTATAACTTTTCTCAACCTATTTCCCACTATCCCTTCCCTTCCCTGCTGCCTATTGCACCCCCCAACTCACCTCCAATGTTCCCTCCTTCTTGCTACTTCCCATGCCCATCTCCCTCTCTCCATGCCCTCTCTCCATGCCCTCTCTCCATGCCCTCTCTCCATGCCCTCTCTCCATGCCCTCTCTCCACGCGTGCCTTCCCTTCCCCAAGCCCTTTCCCCTCCTGTCAGTCCCAGGCGCATACTAGTCCTCAGATACCTTCCAGTGAGCAGAAGTGTTTGGGGTCTAGGCTAAAGCAAGTTGGAAAAACAGTGTAAAAAGTACACTAGCTAGCAGCCGAGAGTATGTGAAACTGGAGCTCTTCTCGTTCCCATGCTCTCCTTGCAGTCTGCTCTCCGCACGTCCTTCCCTTCCTCTCAGTCCCAGACGCCTACTGGAGATGGATTGATCAAACTCTCGCCCTTGTTGTTCTGAGCAGCGCCATTTTCTCCCCATTCCCTGTCCCTTTGTTCCCTGCCTCTTCGCCCTCTCCCGGTGCCCACTCTCCCCTTGTTGGCTGCTGCTGCACGAGCAGGGAGGTAGCGCAGCAAAGACGCTTTGTGCTTGGTCTGCGGAGTGGAAAGTGTCAGTCTGTGCAATCACCTGGGTTCCATGCACATTTGTGTTTGTAGGGCTGTATTCTTTCATATCTCCAATAAATACCGTAGTAGTACTGTTTGCAAACAGGATTGTCACACTCTGAAAAACACACTCTGCAACCTCACAAACCCAGATTCATGCCATACGCACCGGGCCCTCCACATCATTCTCCACTCCGTGACGCATCAACCTATACTAAGCCATGCCAAGCCATGTGCCACAAGAAGTGCCACTTCCTCATTCAATGACCAGAGGGCTCCCTACTCAACAACCCCCCTACCAAAACATAGCCTCCATCACACAACTCTCCCCCTCAGCGGGAGATGGGCTGCACCACGAGGGGAGAGCGCACACTGTGGCCCTGGTCATCAGACCACACTATAAACCCGTACTTGAAGTCATTACTGGGGGTATCCACCGTGAACGTCAGCGTGTAGGTGGCCTTCTCCCCAGGAGCAAGCGTGAGGCTCTTAGTAGACACAGTCACCTTCACCCCCTGCGGCGCCTTCCCAGATACGCTGTATGTGGACCGGGATTGCCCCACGTTGGTGACGGTGCGTGTGACCTGCAGGGAGCCCTGCAGGCGAGGCAGAGTGATGGTGGGCAGGTTGAGGTTCCGGACAGCCAGAGGGGAGAGCGCCACCCCTGGGAACTCCTTTTTCGCGCGGTTGAGGTCCTGCCCGGCCAGGAAGTTCTGGTAGTCGCGGTCGCGGGCGTCGTAAGTAAGCCCGGGGTCGAGCATGGCCGGGGGGAACACGTGGCCTGCGCCCATCTCCCACGGGGTGGCCTCCCTGCCCGTCGCACTCTTGATCGGGCTCTTGCTCGTGTCTGTCACCCGCGCCGTTGTCATCAGCGCTGACATCACCTGCGCCGGGGTCCAGTTGGGGTACTTCTGGATGATTAAAGTGGCTAGCCCGGCTAAATGCGGGGTGGCCATGGAAGTGCCCGACATGCGCGCGAGAGCGCCGGTTTCACCGGGTTTCTTCCCGGGAGCAGCGGCTACGAGGTCCACTCCGGGGCCGATGATGTCAGGCTTTAAGATGGCGTTGCCTGGCTTGGGCGGCTGGGCTGTGACGGAGGGCTGCAGCAGGGGGCCGCGGGAAGAGAAGTCAGCCACCACGGGGGCGGAGGAAGATGCAGTCGTGAACGTGATCCCGCCGTCTGCTGTCAGAACGGTGCTGCTGCCGTCCGTGCTGTTGCCATTGAAGTTGCCGCCTGTGCTGCCATCCGTGCCGCTGCTGCTGGTAGTGGCACCGAGAGCGAGCGACTGAGCGCCAGCCGTTGAGGAAGCGAGGGAGGCGCCTCCTCGGGCAATGGTGCTGGCGCCAACGGTGAGATAGAAGGGGGCGAAGTTGTCAAGCGTGCGGTAGAACCCTCCACGACCGGGCGGCCCGGCGTTGCCGGCAGCAAAGGCGACAAACACCCCGGCAGCATTGGCACGCATGAAAGCGAGGTCGTTGAAATAGTTGTCGTCGGGATTCACGCCGCCCAGAGACAGCGACAGCACATCCACACCGTCCGCCACGCCCTGATTGACGGCTGCGATGATGTCTGATTCCGTCGCGTACATGTCCCCGTTGCCGTCCGTCCAGAAGACCTTGTACGCCGCAATGCGCGCTGCCGGCGCCATGCCGCTCACCTGCCCGCCGCCCTGCACCTTCACTCGGTTCCCCGCGGCCGCCCCCGCGCACCACGTGCCATGGCCGTCCGCATCTCGCGGCGTGAGCCAGTCGTTGCTCAACACGGGCCGGCCGCTGCTCTGCTGGAAGCCGGCATAGAAGGCCTTGGCGCCGATCACCTTGTTGTTGCACCGGAACGAGCTCGACTGCTCGCACTTGCCCTTCCACCCCGCGGGCAGCTGCGAGGAGAGGCCCTTATCGCTGAAGGACGGGTGTTCGGGCCAGATACCCGTGTCCACGATCCCCACCACCGTGCCCTCACCCGCCTTGCTCTGCCCGCCCACTGCCGGCCACACCTTCCCGGGCAGCCCCAGGAACTGCGGCGAGTCGGTCGTCTGCCGGCGGAACACGCGGCTGGCGCGGACGGACGCCACGGCGGGGTTGCGCCGCAGCCGCCACAGCTGGCGCGGCGTGAGGCGCGCGGCGAAGCCGTTGGACGTGTGCTTGTAGCTGTAGAGCAGCCCGTCTTCGGGTACGCCCGCCTCAGATGCCACCTGCGCCTGCTGCCTCTGCAGCAGCCCCGCGAACGCCGCCACCTGGGGGCGGTCCATGCTCAGACTCAGCCGGTGTCGCGGGCACCCGCCGCCACCGTTACGACCGCCGTTACCGTTGCCGTTACCGCCGCGACCGCCGCGAGCGTTGGGAGTGGAGGCGGCGTCAGATGTGGCGTTTGGGGGTGGCGTGGGCACAGTTCCGTTTGAAAGGGGTGTCGTGTCGTCCAAATCGACGGATTCGTCGCCTGGGGCGGCGGCGGAATCGCCGACGGGGAGGATCATCTGCGGCACGGCGTCGCTGTCGCCCTCCTCGTCGCTGCCGTCGTCCCACGTGGCCGTCGCGGGGTAGCCCGCGATTCCGCCGCGGTATTCGGAGAGGGGAGGCGCGGTACTCAGGCGGACGATGTAGACCGCGGAGCTATCCGCTGCTGGCGTCGCGAATTTGCCGGAGTTTTCCCTGGAGGGAGCCGTGAGGAGCGCATCATTGTCGCCGCCGTTGCGCCATGCGCGGTTCAGGTTTCGCCAAACGGATTCGCGGCTTGCACTGGATGGCTGTGCCGCAAGGAGGAATGCGGCCAGAAGCAGTAGCATCGCAATCGCGGGACCGTCCCTCATGGCGATACTTAGCTTTCGGCGGGCAGGTTGCTTTGAACGGTGCCTGAAACCGTTGCCTGCAGACGTTTGTTGGCCTAAAACTAGCAGTAGTAGCAGAACAAGTAGAAGGAACGGATGTCGAATTTGCTTTGAATGCTGCTGGAAGACTTGAATTGTGATGGTGGTCCCACGGGTTGATGGTCCATTTTGTACTCACCGCTCTCATACGGAGTGGCACATTTGGGTGAGGTGGGGGCGTCGTCGCGCCGCAATGCACCTGCCTGGATGGTCAGAAATTGCACGTCTGAAGATATGGGGCAGGTGAGCGAATTCTCGGACTTGCCTGCGGCTTTGGTTGCACCATGCATGGTTCACCAGTTTTCGCGAAACATGACATGAGGTACATCAGAGCACTGTGTTACGGCCTGGGGCCTCTGGAAGTCGACCACGTTTTCGCACATACTTTCGCATCGCTCACACTTCTTCTGGTTACCCAGACCCAGTGCATATCCGTGACGGGCACTTGAAGCTTGGTCTTGTGCATTTCGGTACTATGCGTAGCAGCAATGCGGCGCGGGTCAGTCCGAGCGTGCATGAGACGGGAACAGACCCACCCCATGGGAGTTTGTGGTTACCAGCACTTGCGTTTTCGCTCAGACCACCGGTCCCAGGAAATTTCGTTCCAAAGAAAGTTCGAAGTGCTAGTTGCGTTGAAGCGGGTCTGTCATTGGTCATGCGAAAGTCGCAGAAGTCAACTGGCAGGGAGAGGGAAGGCCGCAGGGACAGCTGGGAGGGATGGACATTAACAATCCGATCCTTTATTGGCTTTAGTTCGGTTACTGAACATTCACAGCACATCATTGGCTCACTAAAGTCAGTGAAAGCTTAGGCCTATTGGGCTGTGGCTCTATAACCTCAATGTGCACAGTCAGTGTCCATTTCTTTGGATCAGAAGTGAGTACAGTACACAACCTGATCATTTATTGGCTATAGTTTGGTTATTGGCCATTCGCATCATTGGCTCACTAACGTCAGTGACAGCTTGGGCCGATTGGGCTGCGGCTCAATGACCTCAATGTGCACAGTCACTGTATCCAACACCTTAAATCGCCGCTTCCCGTCTTTCGACTCTACCGTCTGCGACTTCTCATCCACCACCCAGTCACTAGATGGTGCATTCCCATCGAGCTTGTTGGCAGCAGCAACTGCAGCAGCTTTCCCCTTGGGAGGTTCCTTGGGTACGAGATAGACTGGTCCCTCGATGCCATACCTAGAATTGAGCACAGAAAGTGAAAGTGCAGCACACAGGTTGTGCAGCAGGTGTGAGTTGTGCAAACACAGAACAACACAGAAAGCGTCGTTTTTGTACACAACATGAACACAGAAATTTTCGAGGGGAAAAAATAATAATGACAGAAAAACAAATAAAAGGAGTGTTGCTTACTTGGGCACGAAGACGATCAGCCCATTGGAGCGGACCATCACTATCCGACCCTCCGCATCCGTTGGGCTGGCGAGAAAGTGATGAGAGGAGACGGACAGGTTAGAGAGAACAGCGGTAAGTACGTGAGAGAACGAGGGCGAAAGAAATAGACCAAATTTGCAAGACAAGAGACGTTCTGTGCACGAGAAGCATGGGAAGATGAATGCAGGAAGAAGAATAAGGTGTGTAGGAAAGGTAGTAATGGTAAGAAGGACACGCTGACAGCTCACCGAGTGCGGAAGAATATGAGCGTGTGAAGCTCCACTGATGCTCGCCCCGCCATCTGAGCATTGCGGTTGCGATAGTTGAGGTCTGGCACATTGTGACGGGAGTGTGGGGAGAAGGGTTGAGAAAAACGAGAAGTAGGGAGGAGTGAGTGAACCAGGCGAAGACAAGGAAGTGTGTCGCGAGAGAGGGAGGCATGGGGTGAGGAGGAGGGGTAGAAGCAACAAGAGGGAGAGGAGAAGGTGAGCCTTCCAACATGTTTTTTGACACAGCTATCCAAAGGTCAGCACGTTGGTCTGACTCTGTCACATGACGACTTTTGCCATCAGTCACCTGGATCTTTCATGCACAATATGCATAAGCACATACTACGCAAATTGCTGCCTGCTGTTTCTATGTGCTGTCAATGCCTCCTGTTGTACTGACTCCATATCACAGAAGCGGGAATTTACTAGGAGGAAACCACACTAACGTTGTAATGAGAGAGACAACGGGAGTGTGGACAGAATTTCCTGCAACGGCGTTGGTGCTTACTGTCAGTGAGGGCGGTGAGTGCAGTCTTATCCTTGGTCTGATCCGGCAGCGGTGTCAACCCTATGGCTGCAGCCAGCAGGCGATGCACCACCACGTCTGGTTGGGCATGGATGAATTCACAGTCAGAGGGGAGTGGGGCGGCAGAGGACGGGGAGATTTTGAGGCGCCTTAAATGGCAGCAATGTCAATCCGATGGCTGCGATGCAGGCGATGTACCACCACGTCTGCCTGCATGGGCGTTGGCACATTCAAGAGGGTGGGCACAGGGCGAAAGTGGAAGGTTGATTTGCCCCATACAGGTGAGAGGAGCGGGGAGGATCGAGAGGAGGGGGAGGGAGAGGTGGCAAGAGCAGTGGAGATCCGACGATAGCAGGGGAGAAATGTGGAAGGGAGATGAAGGTAAGAGAGGTGAAGTTAGGGGAGAGGAAAGGACACGTGGCGCCACTTGCCTCACCAGCGTAATAAAAGTGTTGTTTTGAGACGTCTCAAAACAACACTTTTGTCACGTGGAAAGGAAACGTGGCACCACTTGCCTCACCAGCGTAGCAGTGGAAGGAAGAGGTGAAGTGAGTGCATATGGGACCTGCCAGCTCGTAGTGGTGGTGGCACTTTGGAGGGCACTTTCTCTAACGCTCAAAGTGGAGGCGCCAAGTGTCTCACCAGCGTAGCGACGGATGGGGGAAGTGAAGTGGGTATAGATGGGGGCTGCCAGCCCGTAGTGCTGGTACTCTGCAGGGGCCAGCTGGCCGCTGGGAAAATACACCGCCTGGGGAAGCATGGGGGCATGGTTGGTGGGTTGGGGGGGGGTAAGGGGCAAAGACACGGATGGGGGAGGGGTGGGGTGGGCTGTGTGTGTGAAAGTGAGAGAGCGGGGGCACTAATATGGGCTGCGAGGCCGCAGTGGTGGTACTCTGCAGGCGCCAGCTGACCGCTGGGGCAATACACGGCCTGGGGAAGCATGGGGAAAGGGGGAACATGAAAAGGTTGGAGGGAGGAGAAGTAAGTCGATTATCAAAAGGGGGAACATGAAAAGGTTGGAAGGGTCTTCAGCAATCTGCTCTGCACCCTAGCTAGCGTATGTTTTTTGAGAATTCTCAGCGTATGTTTTTTGAGAATTCTCAAAAAACATAGGTTGGAAGGGTCTTCAGCAATCTGCTCTGCATGCACCCTAGCTAGCCCCATGTGCGCACCTATGGTATTATCAAGCATGAGTGTTGGCTTTTACCTGAGTCATGCACGTGTGTAGCACATTTTCTTTCTCATGGCATACATGCATGTCCCTTCACTGCACATCCTAGTGAGCTCGCACCTGAGTCATGCAGCGAGTGGTGAGGATGCGGGTGAGATTGTTGAAACAGGGGCCAGGGCCCTGCGAGAACACAGAGGTGCATACCTTGCATCCTTTCATGTCCCTTCACCACATATCTCTGTCACCTCCCACCTGAGTCATGCAGCGAGTGGTGAGGATTCGGATAAGCTTGTTAAAGTAGGGGTCAGGGCCCTGTGGGGAGAGAGGAGCACACAACGGGATGAAGAGGAGGAGAAGAGTGGTTGAGAGCTGGTTGGTTGAAACGGCTCCACACAGGTCACAGCGGGGCGAGTGGTGAGGATGCGGATGAGCTTGTTAAAGTAAGGGAGAGAGGAGCACACAGACCGGTCGAGAGAGGGAGAAGACTTTTGAGACGGCTCGACATAAGTCCCTGTAGAGAAAGTGAGGTTCGAGAATTGAGAGGAAAAGGTGAACGGTGCAGAGAGGGCAATGATGAGAGTAGCAATGACGACAGGGGGATCGGGATTTCTCATTACAAGCAATTCAGCTGCATGGTCAAGCGAGTCAAGCAGCTCACCACAGAGCGGTCAAGCGAGTCAAGCAGCTCACCACAGAGCGGTCAAACGAGTCAAGCAGCTCACCACAGCGCGGTCAAGCGAGTCAAGCAGCTCACCACAGAGCGGTCAAGCGAGTCAAGCAGCTCACCACAGAGCGGTCAAGCGAGTCAAGCAGCTCACCACAGACAGAGCGGTCAAGCGAGTCAAGCAGCTCACCACAGAGCAGTCAAGCGAGTCAAGCAGCTCACCACAGAGCGGTCAAGCGAGTCAAGCAGCTCACCACAGAGCGGTCAAGCGAGTCAAGCAGCTCACCACAGCGCGGTCAAGCGAGTCAAGCAGCTCACCACAGAGCGGTCAAGCGAATCAAGCAGCTCACCACAGAGCAGTCAAGCGAGTCAAGCAGCTCACCACAGAGTGGTCAAGCGAGTCAAGCAGCTCACCACAGAGCGGTCAAGCGAGTCAAGCAGCTCACCACAGAGCGGTCAAGCGAGTCAAGCAGCTCACCACAGAGCGGTCAAGCGAGTCAAGCAGCTCACCACAGAGCGGTCAAGCGAGTCAAGCAGCTCACCACAGAGCGGTCAAGCGAGTCAAGCAGCTCACCACAGAGCGGTCAAGCGAGTCAAGCAGCTCACCACAGAGCGGTCAAGCGAGTCAAGCAGCTCACCACAGAGCGGTCAAGCGAGTCAAGCAGCTCACCACAGAGCGGTCAAGCGAGTCAAGCAGCTCACCACAGCGCGGTCAAGCGAGTCAGCAAGATTCTTGGAGGAGGAGGTGTCAACTGCAATCCCCACCGCCTCTGCTGTGCGCAGCAGCGGCTCAAACATGTTGGGCGATGGGGTGGGGTGTCGCCTGTCGTGGATGGCAAGGGTTCGGTGGGTGGAAGAGGAAGTGGTATGGTCACGACCCATGACAATCCCAATGGTGCGTTTCAAAAGTCAACTTAGAACCAGCAGCAGCTCTAACATGTTGGGCGAAGGGGTGTGGTGCTGTGCTGCCTGTGTGGGAAATTCACCTAAGATTTCACCTGAGAGCCCCCTGAAGAATTACCTGAGCAGCGAGCAGGAGGCGAAGTGCTGGAGGATCTTGTCAGCTACGGACACATTGGCTGCCAGCATGAACTCCTCTATCATGTGATTGGCCTCCCGCACCAGGTACATGCCTGGAGGAGGGGAGGGGAATGGGGGGACGAGTGAGTGGCAGAGAGAGGCAGAGAGGAAGATTAGGGGCGGGGGCCTGATAGCATGGCAGCATCAACTCCTCTATGTGGTTGGCCTCTCGCACCAGGTACATGCCCTAAAAGGACAGTGAGAGGGAAGAAAGGGGGAAAGAGTGCAATGACAGATGCAGGGAAGGGTGGCGACGGCAGGGGGTGGGAGACTGGGGAAACGGGCGTGTGGATGCGACTATTGCGAGGAATGGCATGCAGAGGGGCAAGAAGGGTCGTACCAACGTCGAGGGGGTCGTGTGTCTCGGTGTCAATCTCAAACTTGACTTCCGGTGATGCCAGTGTGAGTGCTCCCCTGTCTATGCGCCGCTGCCTCATCACCTGGCGTGGGCACGGGGGGATGGGGGTGAGTGGGTATGGTGTGGTGTGGGTATGGTATGGTGTGGTTTGTTATGGTGTGGTGTGGTCTGCAGTGGTGTGGAGTATTGTGGTATGGTATGGTATGGTATGGCATGGTAGGGTATGCTAAACTATGCTATGCTATGGCGTCGTGTGGCATGGAATGCTATAGCATGACATGGCATCACACCTTGGCAAGGCGGTTGAGGTTGCGAAGGTCCCTTGTGAGGTCATCATGCATGCGCCTGATGCCATGGTGACGTCAGCAGAGGGTGGGGAGAGGGTTGGAAGGGGATAGGAAGGCGTTAGAAGAGGGAGGCATACGTATAAAGTTTCGACCTGGATCCAAAAGGGGGGTGGTAATTCACTGTAAAGCATTCAGGCACATGGGATGCAACAGGGGGGCGAGGCTCGCTAGCTGGCTCGCTAGAGGGTTGGAAGGGGATAGGAAGGCGTTAGAAGAAGAGGGAGGCAGCATGCCAGCTGGGATTGGATGCAAAAAGGGGGGTGGTAATTCACTGTAAAGCATTCAGGCACATGGGATGCAACAGGGGGGCGAGGAGATGGGAGCATGGCAGGCAACTATCATCATACATACACATGCCACCACAGCGCTAATACTCAGGGACTACTCATGCAAAGAACACCCCATGCATGGCCATACTCACAAGCCATCTGTGACTACCAGCCAGGCTGCTATCCATACATCCCTAACAGGTCGTACACTCTGACACTCCATCCTTCACACTCACTCATCATCCATCCATCCATGCGTGCATGCATGCCTTATCATCCTTCACACTCACTCATCATCCATCCATCCATGCGTGCATGCATGCCTTATCATCCTTCACACTCACTCATCATCCATCCATCCATGCATGCATGCATGCCTTATCATCCTTCACACTCACTCATCATCCATCCATCCATGCATGCATGCATGCCTTATCATCCTTCACACTCACTCATCATCCATGCGAGCCTGTGCCTCCACATAGGACAGCGCAGCAGCAGATTTGATAACACTCTTGGTGAATCGCACCGATACGATCTCTGCTTCACAAGTCATCTCCTGGTCGGATGTGGCATGGCATGTGGGTATGGGATGTGATGTGGGATGTGCATACATGCGTATCCTGGACGCGAATGCGTTTGGAGAGAGCAAGCAGCCAGCACCACTAGAGCGGCAGCAGCTACAGCAGAACCAACAGCAGCACCAACGGCAGCACTAACAGCGCACGAGCAGCAGCGGCAGCACTGACCCAAATACAGGAGAAGGCGAGTCGCTCCACACCGCCACGTAGGGAGCAGATGTCTGTATGGGGGGTTGAGGCGAGGGGTGGAAGGTGAGGTGAGGCGAGGTGGGGCAAAGTAGGAGGGGTGAGAGAAGAGTAGGACAAGGTGAGACAGATGTAAGAAGGTTTGACCAAAAGGCATGAGCAGGGTAAGGAGCAGGAGACGTTGGGAAGTCGCTCCACACCGCCACGTAGGGAGCAGGTGTCTGGCGAGGGGAGGCGACGGGTGAGGTGAGGTTGGCGTGAGGCAAGGTGAGGCAGAGTGGGAGGGAGGGTGTGAGTTAGAAGTAGTAAGGAGTGGAACAATCTGGCCACAAGGCATAAGGAGGTAAGAAACAGGTTAGCTTGGTGCATGCATGCATGAACGGTTGACGATGGGAATGCCGTGTGCAGAATGCGACGAGATCAATACGCAGACCGTTCGTCCCTAAAGAGGAACGATATGACCGGTCCCACCATCATCATATCGTCCCACCATCATCATATCGTCCCACCATCATCATATCGTCCCACCATCATCATATCGTCCCACCATCATCATATCGTCCCACCATCATCATATCGTCCCACCATCATCATATCGTCCCACCATCATCATATCGTCCCACCATCATCATATCGTCCCACCATCATCATATCGTCCCACCATCATCATATCGTCCCACCATCATCATATCGTCCCACCATCATCATATCGTCCCACCATCATCATATCGTCCCACCATCATCATATCGTCCCACCATCATCATATCGTCCCACCATCATCATATCGTCCCACCATCATCATATCGTCCCACCATCATCATATCGTCCCACCATCATCATATCGTCCCACCATCATCATATCGTCCCACCATCATCATATCGTCCCACCATCATCATATCGTCCCACCATCATCATATCGTCCCACCATCATCATATCGTCCCACCATCATCATATCGTCCCACCATCATCATATCGTCCCACCATCATCATATCGTCCCACCATCATCATATCGTCCCACCATCATCATATCGTCCCACCATCATCATATCGTCCCACCATCATCATATCGTCCCACCATCATCATATCGTCCCACCATCATCATATCGTCCCACCATCATCATATCGTCCCACCATCATCATATCGTCCCACCATCATCATATCGTCCCACCATCATCATATCGTTCCTCTTTACCCTCGTCCTGACCCTCACTTTCCCACCTTCAGTCAAGGGCTTGGGCAGCATGTCTATGCGGCGCTCCACCAGGTACACGGACGTGCCTCGCTGCAAGACCATGCACATTCCCAATCAGCCTCCTTCTCACCGTTCCTCCTATTGTGAGCCGCTTCTGCAGATTTTTTCCTACATACCTTCAGTCAAGGGCTTGGGCAGCATGTCGATGCGGCGCTCCACGAGATACACAGATGTGCCGCGCTGCGATGCCTCCACGTCCAGTGGCGTGCCCGGTAGAACAAAGTTGGTCACATCCGCTATGTCTGCACAGGTGGGCAGGCGGGACAGATGGGGTTGAAGGGAGGGTGCAGCTGGGGCAACATGATGCGGTGAGGCGTGCCGGGCGGCACAAGGTTAGTCACGTCTGCTATGTCTGCACAGATGGGCAGGACGGATGGGGGCAGAGACAGATGAATCCAACAGGAGAATGGCTGGGACACTCAACATGCCTCGCTGGGATGCCTCCACGTCTAGTGGCGTACCCGGCAGCACAAAGTTGGTCACATCTGCTATGTCTGTAGTGGGGACGGTCGGATAGGGGACAGATGGGGTTGAAGTGAGACGGTGGTTTTGAGTTGACTCAAGTACCCGTGCCGACAGCACAAAAGTGAGTCTCGTCTGTTATGTCTGGTGGTGTGTGCCAAAGCCGGCAGCATGCAAGAGGGAAAACTGGACACGCATAGCTCTTTTGAGGCGCCTCAAAAGGGAAATTGGACACTCCTAGTTTCGGTGTTTCCACCCACAGCAAGGCCAGCAGCACTTACGAATGCCAACATCGAAGTTGCCACTGGGGAGAGGCATGCAGTGCAGCGCATCGTTGATATCCCGGCACCCGATGGGGTCCACACTGAACACAAATTCCCCACCAAGACAAGTACTCAAGACCTGGGCTCTTTCTTTCACACCGAGCCCAGAACCAGCACTCACGAACGCCAACGTCGAAGTTGCCATTGGGGAGCGGCACGCAGTGCAGCGCGTCGTCGATATCCCGGCACCCGATGGGGTCCACACTGAACACACGCACGTGGCGCAGGTCCTCCCTCTTGGTGCGAGGGTCTGTGACGTCTGCAGGAGACACGGACCATGGGAGCGGCGGCAGGCACGCCAGCACTTGCTGCGAGAAGGGGCGCGCATCAATGTCGTTTTCCATTAGGAGCAGCTGTGGGTGGGGAGAAGGTGAGGCGGGGGGGGCCACGGGGAGGGTTTTGAGACGTCTCAAAACCCTTCTTCAATCATGAGGCGGGGGGGGCACGGGGAGGTGAAAGAGGGGGGGAGCAAAAGCACAGCCAACGATTGGGGAGGGTTGTGGAGTGTGGGCTTGAAGTGGCACATGCTTCAAGAGAGGCACGGGTCAGTGTCTCCCCCACCACTCTCTGTCTCACCTCGCTCTCTGTCTCCCTGTCGCCAATATCCCCCAGCGTCTTCACGTAGTGCCCCGAGGGGAACGCGCTGTCGGGCTGCCAGCTGTCAATGGCCACCAGGATTCGCTTGCCCATCAGCTGGGCGGCCTGCCTTGTCTCCACGCGGATGCGCGGCACCCTGCGGTCGGCCGCGACGAAGAGGGCGCGCACCAATGCTCCCCCTGACGCTGGGGGCGTGCGCATGGGGGCGAGGGATCCTGCATAGCTGGGGGAAAGTGTGGAGGGGAGCGGTTGGCATGGGGGGTTGGGGGGGTTGGGGAGGGAAAGAAGCAGGGGAGAGGGGGCAGGGGAAGTGGGAGTTGAGAGAGTGTGCAGGAGAGCAGGAGGGAGGGAGGTTGGGGTGTGCATGGGTGGGCGGATGCGCGCACCCTGCGGTCGGCAGCGACGAAAAGGGCGCGCACCAACGCCCCTGCTGATGCTGGGGGCGTGTGCATGGGGGCGAAACGGCTGGGAGGAGTGAGAGTTGAGACACGAGGCAACCCACAGTTGGCAGTGACAAAGAGAGCTCGCACCAATGCCCCTGCTGACGATGGTGGCATGCGCATGGGGGCCAGTGAACCCGCATGGCTGGAAGGGGGGGAGAGAAAGGCGGAGGGAAAGTGGCATGGAGAGGAGAGAGGGGAGGGGAGAGTGAGATTCGAGTCACAAGGCAATCTGCGGTTGGCAGTGACGTAGATGGCGGTGACAAGGTGACGTACACCAGCGCCTGGCGGCGAGGGGACCTGCATAGCTGGGGGACAAGGTGGGAGAAGAAGAGGGGGGGAGGAAGGGTGGGGCGAGGAGAGGGGGGGGGTAGCAGGGGAGAGGGGACAAGGAGGAGTGAGAGCTGAGTCACGAGGCGCCCTGCAGCTGGCAGCGACAAAAGAGGCAACTTCAGGGATACACTACTCACGTGCGCGAAAAAGTTGCCACTTTGTCTAGAAGCATCTTCAAGGAAGACATTTTGAGGAAGGAAGCACAGGTCACATGCTCTTGTCTTCCTCCCCCCCCCACGAAGCATCATGTTTCTGGTTCTCAAGTTGCCTCATTGGGAAGAGGCAGCTCCAGGGAGACGATTGCAAGGAAGAGCATGTGAGGCAGCACCTCACATGCTCCCGTCTCTCCCCACCTCCCCCTACCCGTCACACACACTCACGTGCGCCAGTTGCGCTTGATTATCCCCACCACCCGCCCCGTTGGCCTTGCCAGTTCTGACGGCCCCTTTCTCTCTTCTCCCCCTCCCCCGTCCTTCCCCCCTCCTCCGCCACCCCCCTCCTCCTTGCCGTCCCCCTCCTTATCCAGGGAGAGCGCAGCAGCAGCAGAGGAGAGAGTGGAAGGCGCATCGTCTGCCGAGGCGGGGGGCAGACCCACTGAGTCCTCCTCGCCCTGCTCCTCCGCTGTAACGATAGACGAGAGGAATGGGTATGGGGGAGGGGGAAGAGCGAGGAGGGAGGCACTGAGGAAAGCTGGAGAATGACAAGGGAGAAAGGGAAGAACGTCGGGTTTGTTTGCCTTCTGCGGGCTAGAAAAACTTACACACAAGTGCGACAGCTGAAGACGAGTGCATCCGATGAACAAATTTTACAAGAACCCCATCCAAGGGGTTGAGTCGACTCAAAAGTCACCTCCTCGTCAACAGCGTCATGGTCGTCCTCTCTCTCCCTCAGCGCCCCGCTAGTCGGATCCCTCCACTGCTCCCGCGGCAGCAGCTCCACCGCCACCTCATCACCATCCACACTTTCTTTAGGCGCCTCTAATGAGAAATAGACTCACCAGCAGCTTCATCGTGATCATCTTCTCGCTCCCTCAGTGCGCCACTGGTGAGTTCCTTCCACTGCTCTCGCAGCAGCAGCTCCACCTTTTTGAGTCGCCTAAAAATCCACCCAACCCACCCTCCTTTTCTCCCTTGCCCGCCACTCACCAGCAGCATCATCATGGTCGTCTTCTCTCTCCCTCAGCGCCCCACTGGTCGGTTCCTTCCACTGATCCCTCGGTAGCAGCTCCACCGCCACCACATCACCATCCACACTTTCTTGGGGCGTCTCTGAGGAAAAGCAGACTCACCAGCAGCATCGTCATGATCATCCTCCCTCTCCCTCAGCGCCCCACTCGTCGGCTCCTTCCACTGATCCCGCGGCAGCAGCTCCACCGCCACCACATCCCCGTCCACGGCGCGGTTCATATCGCATCTGCCTATAACGAGGATCTCGTCCCCCAGCGACTCGGATCCCACAAACGCCTCGAAGCAGTTGTAGCGGCTCACGCGCAGCTTGCCCTGATGGTACAGCCCGCGCTGCAGCCCCGCTGTTATGGCTGACATGGGCTTGTGCTGGTGAGATGGGCGGGGGTAGAGGAGTCAGGGAAACGGCGTTGAGGTGAGGAGTCGAGGCAGTTGTGGCGGCTCACTTGTAGCTTGCCCTGGTGGTACAGGCCCCGCTGCAACCCCACTGTTATGGCTGACATGGGCTTGTGCTGGGTGAAAGGACAGGGGGGAACATCAGGGGAAAGGAGTGGTTGACAGTACTGTTGCAGCCGCTCAGCCTCAGCTTGCCCTGGGGGTGGCACACCACATTACACCACATCACACCGCACCACACCACCACACCATCACACCACATCCAACCACGTCGCACCACATGACATGCTATCCATCCTCCATAGCCGTCACCCCACCACTCACATCAGAGTAGATTCTCTTCCTCTTGCTGCGAGACACGTTCGTCCGAAGCCCCCGATTCTCCTCCTCCCTCGCCGCCTTATCCCCCTCCCCTCCCTCCCCTCCTTCCGCCTCCTCCCCATCCCCCGCACTAACAACCAGATCCATGAGCTCTACACTCCCTAGCGACGCCACATACTCTCGCACTCTCATGGCTTTTGTGCCGCCCGCCACCGCCTTTGCCAGGTTGGCTTTGTCGTCTGTTATGAGCACGACCGGCACTTTGCCGCCCAGATGCTGCTGGTACCACTGCGCTGCCACCCGAATGGCTGCAATCGGAGAGGTGAGAGAGAGGCAGGGTTTTGTGGGAGGAAAGAAAGGACGAGAAGTAAGTGAGGTGGAGAGGGGGTAAGGGGGGGGGGTAAGACAGGGTGTGTGAGATGATGGGAGAGCGAGGGGAGAGAGGGTGAATCGCGAATGATGAAGGGAGAAAAGCAACTTTTGAGACGTCTCTTGAGACGTCTTCTGAGACGTCTCAAAAGGAGAAAAGCAAGAGGGGAAGGCGAGGAAATCGCGGCCTTCTGACCTCGGTCATTCCTGTCGTTGGGACTCTCCCCTGGCTCCGCCTTGATGTACGTGTCCCTGATTGATTGTGCGCCCATGCACATGGGGAGGGGAGAAGGTACGCGGGGAGGGGGGACGGGTAGGGGGAAGAGGGAAGGGAGGAGGAAAGAGAGGAGCACAGAGTGGGCAAGGAGATTCAAGAAGGAGCATTCAGAGAATCAAAGGGAACAAAGCACGACAAATGGGGGGGGATGGAAAGGGTGGGGTAAGATACTTGCGTGATGCGCCGCCACTCATTCACCTGTGGTGTTCATTGCAGAAGACCATGCCATGACCGCCACACTGCTACTGTCCTTCTGACTCGCCTTGCAACAGGACCGCAAGCGCTCACTCACTTGTGGTGCTCATTGGGGAATACGAAGAAGCGGCGGGTGGGACTCCTCTGCTACGAGCGCCCCTACAAGCGCCCTGAGCCGGCCGTACACCGCCGCCACGCTGCGACTTGGTCAAACATACACTCACTTGTGGTGCTCGTTAGAAAAGACAAAGAAGCGGCGTGATTCCTCCGCCACGAGCGCCCTGAGGCGCCCATACACCGCCACGTTGCGACTCTTCACCTCCTCCAGTACCACCGACAGCACCACCACATTGCTGATCGCTGCATTCTCCAACAGATCGATCTGAAAGGCATGCGTGGTGAGGAAGGCGATAGGGGTTGAATTGGGGGATCGCGAGGGGAGAAGTGAAGTGCCCGTGAAATGGGGCTGTGAAAAACGTTCGCCTCCTCCAGCAACACCGACAGCTCCACCACGTTGCTGATCGCCACGTTCTCAAACAGGTCAATCAGGGAGGCACGCGTGGTGCAGTGGGTGGGATGGGGACATGGCGTTAGGGGTTCATGTGGGTATGGGATGAGGGGATATGGCACCAACTTCACTACTTCCACCACCACGTTGCTGATCGCTGCATTCTCCAACAGGTCGATCTGCGAGCAATGGATGGTGACGGGGAACGGGATATGGCGGTTGTGGGGATATGGAGATACGGGGAGGGTTAGGGGGTCATGGGTTATGTGGTTATGGGGATATGGAGTTATGAGGTTTTGTGGTTATGGAGATGAAGGTGGGGATATGGTGTTATAAGGCTATGAGGATATGGGGATGGCAGGGATGGCACGGATAGGGTGTGGGAGTGGTGTTCCAGCAGGGTCCAGATAAAATGTAATCCCGGCCGCACTGCCTGCATGGTACAGAACTCACCTGGTGCAGGGCGACGTTGGTGTCTATAACGAGGATGGTTTCGTTATTAGGCGAGAGGCGAGCGGATTCTTTGTCGCAGGCGGTGGCGGGCGCCTTGGCGCAGGGCAGCGCGCCACAGGGAATGTCGTCGCGCAGGTAGTGCTCCCGCACCACCTGACGTCGCCGGCGATTCAGGCAGGAAAGGGTGGAGTAATGAAGTGGAGGGATACAAATTCAACAATTTAGGGTTGATTAGTCAGATGTGCACCTGTGGATCTCAAGTAATCATTTCAAACTCATGTTTGAGTCCACTGATAAGTGCTTGAAAATTCTCGCGCGGAAGCGCGATGCTTTCGCTTCCACACAAACCCTGAACCTCGTACCCTGAAACCCTTAAATCCAAAATCCTTGACTCTAAAACCGGTTCCATCTCATCTACCTAAAAAATCACTCGCTCCGAACAAAACGAGTCGTTGCTCCGCTATTGAGAATACATTTCTGCAGGAACGTTTCTAATCTCTTGCAAGCAATGCCAGAATGCAGATTACGGAGCTCATAACACAAATCCTGGTAATACCCTACGCCGGCTCTGGAGATTCAAAGCGACTAACAACGTTAAGCTAGAAACGCATCCACTTCGCACCCGCTGTATGGCTCCTTTGCGCGTCTTGCGAACGAACTGCTTCTGATGAAGCATCGTGACGAGGAGTTTCCAACTCGCCCAGGCAGTAGGTGTTTCACTGCGGGTGGGACCACCGTGGTAGCAACAGAAACGGTAAAGAGCGCAGAAGTCGATTACTTGAGAAGGAATGCAGGGAACGGAGAGATGCGCTGTGCGGAGCGCCGAGGAGTATGAAGTTAGGTGTCATGCTTTTGTGCGTCATGTTCTGTTCGAAAGCAGTAATGTAGGAGAACCGTGTTAGACCGTGAAGGAACCAATAGGACCGCATGCGACGGGCCTGAAAACAAGCGTGTCGGGGCATCAGTTCACTACTCTTTACAGAGTGATTCGTTTCTCTGGAGATCTCGTAGGAAACAGTGATTGAGAATACATTTCGGATTCCGCTTATTCATTGCTATAAAATGACAAGCAGCGAATCAGGCACCCAATCTCCGTGTCACAAATGATCAGTCGGGGTGACAAAGATGTGACTTGTCAGGGGAATTGACGGCTCAGATTGACTAAGAAAGAGACCGATATTCTGGACGAACCAGATGACTGCGTATCAGGCGGGAAACTCTAATGTGGCAGGCCTTCTGGTTCGCAGGCTCGCCACCAGGCCTGATTTTCAGGGGTCTCATGCGGTGAAATCGATGTCAAAGCGGGGACAATCGATTCCGAGGCAAGGCTTCAGCTTTGAATCTGTTGGTTAGGTGGACAGTCCCTGAGCTTTCGGGCTTTTCGCAACTGCCCAGATCCAAGCCTTTCTGATGGGACATTGGCAACCCTACAGGACCGGACCTGTTCGGTGATGCTTGGCTGACAATGACTTCATGAGTTCCTGCTTTCTGAGATGCTGCTGCTGTCTTGCAAGATTCAGCTTTCAGGAAGCCAGCCTAGAAGTTTGCCTATCATACAATACCTACTTCACTAGTTTCCCAGCTGGATCCGCGTTTCCTTGGTTCCATGTTCGTGGAACCTTGTTCTTACATGTCTGCGGTTTAGATTACACTTCCCGTTTTCTGAAATCTCGGTGGGCTAGATTATTGTAGACGCTATCTACTCGACTAGCGTAGGTCGGAATGGAGCCGGAAAGAGGTGGATCCGGGAGAGGCACAGATGGTCAGCAACAGGTCCTCGAGATGTCCGCCGTTGATCTTCATGGTGACGAGGAGTAAGTGCTGACGTGGAAGATAGTCGACATTTTACTCATAGTGCAGTACATTCGTTTCATTTCTAATTACAACGCAGTTCAGATAGTCGCTGATTGACGCGATCGGAAAGGCCAATTCCTGTCATTTCTAGATCGAATTGGCTTTAGTTTATGATGATCCTTGCTATCTACTTTCTTCACATTCTCGATTTATCCTTTTCAGCTTATCAATGGAAGATGGACACCGAGAGGATGAACCTGCACCTGTCAGCGCCGTGAGGGAGAGAGACTCCAAGCTCGAGCTTTTTGAGAGTGACCCTCTGGTCGATGCTGTCGGCGTGAGAAGGTACAGCAACCACACCCCAATTCGTCCAGCCTCATTCCTGTCTCACTCTCCATTAACATGTGAATGTGCGATCAAATCTTGGCTAATCCTTTTGACCGGCACGTGCAGGATGGCTGGTGAGCATCCCATGAGTCCTCGTGACGGCGATGAGATGCACGTTCACCGAGGTTCCGACAGGGTACGTCCATTCCACACTCGTACGTCGAAACTCAATCATGGGCTGAAAACTTTCGAATCACATCGGCTTTGCGTAGACACGAGTCACATACATTATATAACCTCTTCTGGAAAGTAATGTGGCTCAACGCACTGGATTGCGTCTGGTCTTGTGCAGAGCATGAAAGTAGCGAAGCTGGGTACCCTGACCGGCGTGTACATCCCGTGCGTTCAAAACATTCTCGGAATCATCTTCTATATTCGTCTTTCCTGGTACGTACGGCGAATCGCCTATTGCCGTTCCCGTTGTCCCTGCAAGTGCCACAATATCAACTATCATGTCGCTCGCTTCATATACCAGCATTCATCTAACCGTCATTCTCTTATTGCCTCACGCTATACATCTTCTCTCACCCGTATTTGCGTCGTCATCGCGCGTGGATATTGCCAGGATTGTGGGTATTGCGGGTATCGGGCAGAGCCTGCTGCTGGTTGCGCTGACGTGCCTCAGCACAGTCCTCACGGGCTTATCCCTCTCTGCCATTGCCACCAACGGCGCCATGAAGGTGAGCACCGTCCCCTTCACAAGTGTGTTTTGCGGATCCTGGGAGTTGCGGGTCACCACACACAGATCACACCAGCGCGATCACGGATCATGCGGAAAATGTCTTAGTCTAGATTAGTCCAAGAATTCGGAAGCACTTGGAACAGTTCTGATGGGGAGGGGTATAGAGAATAAAACCTGCGCGCTCTGCTGTCTCACGTCCGCTCAGTCGGTTCCTGGTGCTGGCATCTAGGTTCCGATGAGGATTGGAGATCCCTTTCTGAGTCTTAATACTTTGCACGTTGCGTGCTGCAGGGAGGCGGCCCTTACTACCTGATAGGGCGAGCGCTAGGGCCTGAGGTGGGAGTGAGCATAGGGCTGTGCTTCTTCCTCGGCAATGCAGTCGCTGGCTCCCTGTGAGTGCTGCCCACAGCCGCTCCATCAGCCACTGTTATTTGACCTCCGTACAGCTGTACATTCTAGAATCAGGTATCCGCAAGGCTGACTCGTCGTTTCGAACTGCCTCTCTCAACCATCCATACTCCCCCGTCGACCTAATGCACCGCCTCCCCTCTTCGCCCTCCCCCGCGTGTTCAGATACATTCTTGGTGCGGTCGAAACGCTGCTGGATTGGCTCCCCCAGATGTCCCTCTTTCCACGTGAGTTTCCCTATGGCCCGCCCATCCCCTTCACCTGCCCACCCACTCGTCTAACAACCCGTCTCTTTTCCCACTCGTCTCCATCCCATCAGATCTCGTTTCCCGTATGCCCTGTATCATCCCGGACAGACGTGTCTGCGGCCTTATCTCTCGTCCTTTCCCATGCGCACTCTGTCCTCCCTCATGCCCTGTAATCCCTCACGGGGCGCAGCGGAGCAGGTGACGTTTGGCGTGAACTCAACAACCAACTCGACGGTGGAGCTGGCGTCAACGGCGGACATGCAGGTGTACGGAGTGATCGTGACCGTCGCGCTCTGCATCGTGGTGCTGGGGGGCGTGCGCGTGGTCGTGCGCGTGGGGCCGCTCTTCCTCATCCCCTCCATCCTCGCCATCATCTGCATCTTCATCGGAATCATCGTTGCTCCCCGCAGCGGCAGCCCAGGTAAGACTGCTAGCCTCCTTGTTTTGAGTCGACTCAAGAATCGCTCTTCCTCATCCCCCCCATCCTCGCCATCATCTGCACCTTCATCGGAATCATCGTTGCTCCCCGCAGCGGCAGCCCAAGTAAGACTGCTAGCCTCCTTGTTTTGAGTCGACTCAAGAATCGCTCTTCCTCATCTCCCCCATCCTCGCCATCATCTGCATCTCCACCGGAATCATCGCTGCTCCCCGCAGCGGCAGCCCAGGTACGGTAGCCAGCCTCCTTGTCTTTAGTCAACTCGAAAATCGTTCTTCCCCATCCCCTCCATCCTCTTCCTCTTCTCCGTCGTCGTTGGGATGGTTGTTGCTCCATGTAGTGGCAGCCCAGGTTCGGCTGCCAGACTCTCTCTCCCTTCCGCTGTTTTGATATGCTGCTTCCCTGTGCTTTCTTTATTTCTGATACGTACTGGATGATATATGGCTAATCCTGCATGTGCCTGTTTGTATGTGTCCACACACATGCGTGTGCGCGTTTCTGGATTCTCACACGTCTGCGCCTGTGCTGTCACATGGCATGTGTGTTGTCACGTGTGTGGTGATGGGGTGTGCGTGCGAGCGGCTGGTAACAGAGGGGCTGACTGGGCTGAGCCTCAGCACTTTGTCGAGCAATTGGGCGTCGGATTACCAGAAGACCAACGCCAACGGCATCCCTGATGAGAACGGCAACTTCAACTGGAGCTTCACGTGAGCCTCGTATTTTTGCCTTTCAACCTCCGTGCTGTCTGCCATTGCAGTCTTCTCACATCCCTCCACGTTCGTTCCACCCTCACTTCCCTTCACGCTCGTCCCACCCTCTACTTCTATCCTCTCTCTCGTTCTCTCACGCCCGTCTTCACTATTTTTGCCTCACGTCCCTTTCTTATCTCTCTCTCTTGTTAGCTCACGTCCTTCCCCCAATCTCTCTTTCCCAAACATCCCTACCCTATCTCTCTTCCTTTCACGTCCCTCCTCCTCCCTCCCTCCCTCCCCTCCCTCGCTCCCGTCCACCCTTTGCCCCCTGCCAGTCAGCTGCTGGGCCTTTTCTACCCTGCAGTCACGGGCATAATGGCGGGCAGCAACCGGTCGGCATCGCTCAAGGATACACAGAAGTCCATCCCCATCGGCACCCTCTGGGCCATCGGCACCACCACGCTGCTCTACGTGTTTGCAGTCTTCATGTTCGGCTCTGTGGCGCTAAGGGACCTGCTGCTCACTGACCGGTGAGGGGCGAGGGAGGAGGGGGGCAAGGGAAGGAAGGGGGTTGGGTGGGGAGTGGAAGGGGTCCCGAAGGGGTGTGAAGGGGGTTGGACGGGGATGCATTGGCCATCGGCACCACCACGCTGCTCTTCGTGTTTGTTCTCTTCATGTCTGGCTCTGTGGCGCTCAGAGACCTGCTGCTCACTGACCGGTGAGGGAGGAGGGAGGAGGGGGGTGGGGGGGAGCAGAAGGTGAGGTTAAGAAGGAAGTGGAAGGGTGTGTGCTCTGGGCCAATGACAACACCACGGTGCTCCGCGGTCTTGCTGCCTACGTGTTTGGAATTGCAAATCCAGTAAGCTTCCTGCTCAATGACTGGACGGGAGGGGAGAGGGGATAAGGGTGGTTGATGCGAGTGGGGGAAGTGGGAGAGAGAAAGAGCATGAGTTGTGACTGATTGGTGGGACGACGAGAAGGGACACGGCCTCAGGGTTCTGGGCAGTGTACCATAAGCAGTTGTGCTCAGCAACCCAACCCGTTGCCAGGAAGGGAGAGACGAGAAAGGAAGGGGGGATGATTGAGCGTCAGTAGAGAAGGGTCCGTGTGCTCTCAACCAATAATCTCGTCTCCCTTTTCTCTCCTCTTCTCCTCCTCCCTCGTCTTCCTCTCCCCTCTCCGCTTTCCCCCCTCCTCCCCTGCGTGGCTGCTCACTGCCACTCCGTAAATCGGCATCATCCTTTCCACCCTTGGCGCCTACTTCAACCACCCCTAAATATACGTTCCCTGCCGCCCTCCCTCCCATTCCCTGCCTGACTGCTCACAGCCACGGTGGCATGGCCGTCCCCAGCAGTGGTGTACATCGGCATCATCATTTCAACCCTCGGCCCCTACTTCGGACACACTGATAAATATACCCTTCCCGTCCCGTCCTCCCTCCCATTCCCCTCCAGGCTGCTCACGGCCACCCTGGCCTGGCCGTCCCCGGCAGTGGTGTACATCGGCATCATCCTCTCCACGCTTGGCGCCGCCATGCAGAACCTCATGAGCGCGCCGCGTCTGCTCACAGCCATCGCCAATGACGACATCCTCCCCATCCTGGACTGGTTCAAAACAGAGGACAACCAGGAGCCCTACCTCGCCACGCTCTGCACGCTACTCATCTGCGCCGGCTTCGTGTGCATTGGAGATGTGGACTATGTCACGCCGGTGATCACCATGTTCTTCCTGCTGTGCTATCTCGGGGTGAACCTCTCCTGCTTCCTGCTGGATCTGTTGGATGCGCCGTCGTGGCGCCCGAGGTGGAAGTGGCACCACACGCTCACCGCCCTCGCTGGCGCCATCCTTTGCGTTAGTAAGTTTTGAGACGTCCCAAAAGTCTATCTCGGGGTGAACCTCTCCTGCTTCCTGCTGGATCTGCTCGATGCGCCGTCGTGGCGTCCGAGGTGGACGTGGCACCACACGCTGACTGCCCTCGTAGGAGCGGTCCTTTGCGTTAGTAAGAACCTATTGTTTCGGGAGGGCGGGAGGAGAGGGGTATTTTTTGTTCTTGTTTCTGCGTTTTTGCGGCACTAATCCTCCTGGAAGATAATCCCGCTTGTCAGCTGCTATCCTCTTTCCCATGTGCGCTTGTTGCCCTCCCATCACCTGCTCGTGTGATGAAACAATTGATTCCTCTCCCTTGTCTCCACCCTTGCACCAACCCCTCCCGCACCTCTTACGCTATCCCCCCCTCGCATGCTCCCTCTCTCCCTTTCCCTGTGCCCCCCCCTGCAGCGATCACGCTCATGATATCGTGGTTCTCGCCACTGTGCCTGCTGCTAGCCATGCGATTCATCAAGAGCATCAAAGATCTCTCCTTCCCCCCCTTCTCCCCCTGGTGCCCCCCCTGCAGCGATCATGTTTTGAGACATCTCAAAACACTCCTCCCTTTTCCCCCTGGTGCCCCCCCCCCCTGCAGCGATCATGTTCATGATATCGTGGTTCTTCACGCTGCTGTGTCTGCTGCTAGCGGTGCTCATCTACTACTACGTCAGCCTCAAGGGCAAGGCCGGCGACTGGGGCGACGGCTTCAAGTCTGCCTACCTGCAGCTCGCCCTGCGCTCCCTCAAGTTCCTTGGAGGTATGAGTCTAGGCTAGGCTGTGCATACACTCAACGAATTTATGGTGTAGAAAGGCCCTGACAACTGTAAGGCCATCTATATGTTTTTATCCTCTGGTGTCTTCTTGACTTATGCCCCTTCCCCGTTGCTTCCCCCGAGGCAATTTGTCTTGAGACTGATCCCCCCCACCCGCACTCTCTCCCCACCTTCTCAAACGGGTCTTTGTATTATATCAGCCATGGGTACATGCAAACGGGCAGAGCCAGAGGCAAACAGCTGCAAAATAGCTACAACAATCCCTGCTCCCCAACCGCACTCTCTCCCCACCTTCTCTGTCTCCCCGCTTTCTCTCCCCACACTCTTCTTCCGCCCTCTCTCCCGCATACAGCGAGTCAGGTGCATTCCGAGAACTGGTACCCCATCCCGCTCATTTTCTGCAAGCTCTGGGACATTGTGTCTTGGAACTGACCCTCTCCATCCGCACTCTCCCCCCTCCTAACCCATCCACCTTCTGTCCTCCCCGCGCTCTCTCCCTTCCCTCGTTCCCTGCCCGCCCTCCCTCCCCCCTGCAGCGAGTCAGGTGCATCCCAAGAACTGGTACCCCATCCCGCTCATCTTCTGCAAGCCCTGGGGCATCCTGCCTCCCGACATGCCATGCCATCCGAAGCTTGCTGACTTTGCCAACTGCATGAAGAAGAAGGGGCGCGGAATGACCATCTTTGCCACCATCCTCGAAGGCCGCTTCAGGTGCGTTCATGCCTGAATGAAGCAAAGTACACTTTTGAGAGGGTGTGGCAGAGGTCATCATTGCCGACTGTCTCATTCAGGGTACTTGCACCGCCTCATCTCCTCATCCCTACCCTCCACCCCTCCTTTTCTCACTCCACTCTCATTTTCAACCCCACTCCCTGCAAATCGCCCTTCCAACCATGCCTTCTCGCCCACTTGACCAGGGACCGGGCAGAGGATGCACGGTCAGCGAGCCACCTGCTGCTGAGCTACATTGACTACAAGCGCTGTGAGGGGGTGGCAGAGGCCATCGTGGCTGACTCGCTCAACGAGGGATTCCGCATCGCAGTGCAAACCATGGGGCTGGCGAATCTCAAGCCCAACATCGTGTGCATGCGCTACCCTGAGATCTGGCGCGAAGACATCCAGAGGTGAGGCGAGAGGTGAAGTAAGAGGTGAGAAGTCTGGTCTGAGGTATGTCCCAAAGGATTCCGCATTGCCGCGCAGACCATGGGCCTCGCGAATCTCAAGCCCAACATTGTGTGCATGCGCTACCCTGAGATCTGGCGCGAAGACATCCAAAGGTGAGGAGCTTTTTTTAGAGTCATTTTTTTTCGTTTTTCAGGCGTTTGGGGAGAGAAAAACAAAACCACAAACAAAACAAATCAAATCAAAAATCAATACAACACAAAAACCCCCAATATCCAACATCGTTTTGAGTCGACTCAAAACTAGGCCCAACGTCCAACATCGTGCGCATGTGTTACCCTGAGATCTGGCGCAAAGGCATTTGGAGGGCAGGTTACATGCGAGGATTTCCGTGGAAAAGGAAAAAAAAAAAATCAACGTCAAGCCCCTCCTCCTCCTCCTCCTCCCCTACTGGCGCCTACAGGGACATCCCCGGCACGTTTGTGAACGTCATCAACGACTGCAACACAGCGAACAAGGCGTGTGTGATCGTGAAGGGGCTGGACGAGTGGCCGGGCGAGTACCAGAAGCAGTACGGCACCATCGACCTCTACTGGATCGTGCGGGATGGAGGCATCATGCTGCTGCTGTCCCAGCTGCTGCGGGCAAAAGAGAGCTTTGAGAACTGCAAGATCCAGGTATGTGTCTCTCACGTAAATGCCATGTGTTGACTGGTCAGTTGACCCGCAAGCCCATCCTGAAAGGGCGAGAGTACCAGAAGCAGTATGGCACCATCGACCTCCACTGGATCGTGAGGGACGGTGGCATCATGCTGATGCTGTCCCAGCTTCCGCGGGCGAAAGAGAGCTTTGAGAACTGCAAGATCCAGGTATGTGTCTCGTGCGTAAATGCCATGTGTTGACTGGTCAGTTGACCCGCAAGCCCATCCTGAAAGGGCGAGAGTACCAGAAGCAGTATGGCACCATCGACCTCCACTGGATCGTGAGGGACGGTGGCATCATGCTGCTGCTGTCCCAGCTTCCGCGGGCGAAAGAGAGCTTTGAGAACTGCAAGATCCAGGTGAGTGACTCATGCATAAGTACCTGTATCTGATGACTCGTCCGCGAGCACGAGGAGGGCACAGAAGCAGAGAACCTGAAGCTGCACGTGAGCAAGCTTAATGACTATTCCCATGAGTTCGCCTGTGCCCCTAGAACCACTAACCTTTGCTCCCTTGCCGCCCGTACTGCCCCTGCACTCCTCTGCGCGCGCCTGCAGGTGTTCTGCATTGCAGAGGAACACTGGAGCGGAGAACCTGAAGCTGGACTTGAGCAATGGAATGACTGTATTGAATGTTGCTTATGCACGAATAACCACTGTCACTTCTCCCCTTCCACCGCTGGACGCCTGCAGGTGTTCTGCATTGCGGAGGAGGACACAGGCGCGGAGAACCTGAAGCTGGACGTGAGCAAGTTCCTGTACGACCTGCGCATGCAGGCTGACGTCATTGTCGTCACCATGAAGGCGTGGGAAGACGTCGTGTCCGATGCTGAGGGCGCTGAGGCAGAGCTCGCCCGGCAAGGCGCCATGGAGGCTTTCACTCGGGTGAGTGGGAGTGTGCCATGCAGGGTTCTTCAGGGAAATGGTTGCAGATTGCAGCCAGGCATGCAGGCACCTGTGAGGGTGAGTGGTACGGTGGTGCCCCTTGCCTTGCATTCACAGTCATGGTGGAAAGTCTGCGGTGCTGGGGTTGGTTATCACCATGAAGGCATGGGAGGACGTGGTGTCCGATGCTGAGGGCGCTGAGGCAACTTTTGAGTCGACTCAAAAGCCACCCCGATGCTGAGTGCGCTGAGGCAGAGCTCGCCCGGCAAGGCGCCATGGAGGCTTTCACGCACGTGAGTGGGAGGAGTGTGCCATGCAGGATAGGCTGTGGGACTGGTCACAGATGCAAACCCTGAGTACAAGCACTGAGTGGGGATTTGGACAAGCCGTTGTGCGGGTGTGTGGGGCTGCAGTGGTACCCCCCACGCACCAGTGCGCGTTCACCTGTACATTCACAGTCCTGCAAATGGGTGGTGCGTGCTTCAGTGGTGACCGTGAAGGTGTGGCCGGATGTGTGTCAAAGGTTGAAGTGGATGGAGGTTGAACTGGTTAGGCAAGGCATCATGGGGATGTTCGATACGGTGGCTGGTGTTGAGTGGCTAGAGGTGGTAATAATGGTGTGGGCACAAGTCTATGCTGCAGCTAAGGCTCTGGATTCATTTTTCACACTCAAATCTTCATCCCATTCCATCCCATCCCTTCCTACCCCACCCCCTGCCTCACTGCAACCCAACCCCACCCCCAGGCGCGGCGCAACATAGCCCAGAGAATGAGCGAGGACCCCGAGGCTGAGACGCACCACTCACTGCTGGACGAGAGCAAGGTGAATAAGTTCCTCTACACCACAATCAAGCTCAACTCCATTATTCTGCGGTACTCGCGCATGGCTGCTGTGGTGCTCGTCAGTCTCCCGCCTCCCCCTCAGAACCATCCCCCTTATTGCTACATGGAGTACATGGACTTGCTTGTCAACAATATCCCGCGCTTGCTTATGGTCCGTGGTTACCGCCGGGATGTGGTTACCATCTTCACATGAGTTAGAGCTAGAGATTGTAGTAGGGAACGGAGGTTTTTGTGTTTGTTGTACTTATTCCACGCCCTTGAGCCAGGGCTTAAGAACATACTGATTACTTTTGGATGCATGTACGTCAACATGCCTGGGGGTCTTGTGAGCATTGCTGGATAATGAGATCAAAATTAAAACAGAAGAAAGAAGAACGTATGGTGATGCAGACGTACAGATAAAAAATGCTTGTTGATTTGAGTTTCCCTGAGATATGTCAGAACAGGTGTAACAAACCATTAAGAAGACAGGTTCCCAATTTTTCCCTTTGGACCACGTCTCAGCAACAAGAAGTGCACCCACGATGGGACTCGAACCCACAATCCTCTGATTAGAAGTCAGATGCCTTATCCATTAGGCCACGCGGGTACGAATTTTGGTGCACAAAAGCGTATTAAGATTTTGGAGTTAGCGCAGACCACCTCAAGACACCGCTAGACTGGCGAGGGACCATGGATTTGGATGCCGTGGACTACGGAGAGGACTGGCGAGATGACGACGTACTTAAGGACCGGGTTGAACGGTCCACAGACGATGCCGAAGCACGAGTGCCGCATTCGGCCCGCGGAGTTCATGGCGATCAGCCAACGGCTAGCTCGAATCAGCGAACCGCACTCGTTGCTCCTCCGTCTGCCATGGATTGTCGCAACTACGACGCCTCGGCTTACGCTGAGCGCGTTTTGCGCGAGCGGAAGCTAGCCGGGAGCGTGATCTACGCTGCGCTGCTCGTTCCAGGTGACCACGTCAGCATGCCAGCTGGAGAGCTGAGGGACGAAACGTGGCCGTCCACGTCAGCAGCGCCGCGGCTCGTCGCATGTGCTTCGAGCAGCGGTCGCGTATCGGTTCACTCGCTGGCTTCGTTAGTCGCCTCGCAGGTACTTTAAATTCCAGGGTCGGCGAAGGAACCCCTATCCTATTCCTAAAAGAGAGGCATTCCCCCCTCCGCGCCTTCCTCGTGTCTCCACCTCCCCTCCCCACAACACCCCCCCCCCCCTTACCCCCTTTTCATTCAGTCACCCCAAAACTCTTTTCCCCGCCGCCTCTCTTCCCGCCTCCCCTGTCCCCGCGCATGGCCAGCGCGGCGGCGGGCCTTGGGGGGAGGCGGGGGAGGGGGCGAGGCGCGTGGGGGAGGCGCAGCCCGCAGCAGCGGTGCAGGCGCACAAGGGGGCGGCGTTTGGGCTCAAGACGTGCGCTATGGGGGGACAGCCGCTGCTGTTCAGGTGGGGAGGGCATCGAGGGTCTAACTCCCAGGCCCTTCATTTCTAGGCCTGCAGAAGAATACAGAAAGCTTATTCTTCTTTCTTCCCATCCTTGGTTCTATTTTCTAGAGTTACAGACAGCTGAATGAATATGTGGCGTGGCGAGTGCTGAAAGTGCTGCTGAAGGCTTGTTTGTGCTGATGTGGCAGCTGCGGGGACGACGGTCGTGTTGCAGGGTGGCGGTGGAGCGACCTCCTCTCATCCAATCCTGCTCAAGGTGAGCCTGCCGCTCAGCTAGTCAGCTCCTTCATAACCTCGTTGCAATTTTTGAGGCGCCTCAAAAATAGTGGCGGTGGAGTGGAGCGACTTTCTCTCGTCCACTCCTGCTCACGGTGAGTCTGCCACTCAACAAGTCAGCTCCTTCACAGGCTTCTTACAACCTTTAACACATGCTAACTCTTACTCGGCTAATCCTAAATCTTTTTTTCACAGCATGCTAGTCTTTCTTCAGGTGTCCAGAACGAGGTGACTTTGGAGTCAACTCAAAAGTCACCTCTTACTCAGCTATTCTCGATTCTTGTTTTCACAGCATGCTATTTTTCCGGTGTCCAGAACCACATTCCTCTCACCAGGGCGCCACGTGCATGTTCTATGTAGCGCTCACGTACCCAAAATATGCTTGGTAAAAGGTCCACCCCTGCGTTGACCTGGTCAACCCAACCCCACTGCTCCACCCCCAACTCCCCCCACTCCAACTCCCAGCCCCTCAAGTGGCCCCCTGCGTTGACCTGGTCAACCCCCCCACCACGTGGGCTGCTGCAAGGGGCGTGGCAGTGGTGCCAGAGACCAACGCCATTGATGTTGACGAGCAGGTGTGTGTGTGCACACATGGTGCATGGTGCATGGTGCATGGTGCATGGCAATGGTGCATGGTGCATGGCAATGGTGCATGGTGCATGGTGCATGGTGCATGGCAATGGTGCATGGTGCATGGTGCATGGCAATGGTGCATGGTGCATGGCAATGGTGCATGGTGCATGGTGCATGGTGCATGGCAATGGTGCATGGTGCATGGTGCATGGCAATGGTGCATGGTGCATGGCAATGGTGCATGGTGCATGGTGCATGGTGCATGGCAATGGTGCATGGTGCATGGTGCATGGTGCATGGTGCATGGTGCATGGTGCATGGCAATGGTGCATGGTGCATGGTGCATGGTGCATGGTGCATGGCAATGGTGCATGGTGCATGGTGCATGGCAATGGTGCATGGCAATGGTGCATGGTGCATGGTGCATGGTGCATGGCAATGGTGCATGGTGCATGGCAATGGTGCATGGTGCATGGTGCATGGTGCATGGTGCATGGTGCATGGTGCATGGTGCATGGTGCATGGTGCATGGCAATGGTGCATGGTGCATGGTGCATGGTGCATGGTGCATGGCAATGGTGCATGGTGCATGGTGCATGGCAATGGTGCATGGCAATGGTGCATGGTGCATGGTGCATGGCAATGGTGCATGGCAATGGTGCATGGCAATGGTGCCGGAGACCAACGCCATTGATGTTGACGAGCGGTTGTGCACACGCATGGTGCATGTTCCATGGTGCATGCATGGTGCATGTTCCATGGTGCATGCATGGTGCACGGCGCAATTTGCGGACCGCATGCTGCATTCGCATCCCATCATTGCACACTTCTCTCCCCTCTCTGCACCTCACAAGGCACTTGTATCCCTCTGCACCCCTTCCGTACACCCACCCACCCATTCCTCCCAACTCCTGCAAAACCACTGCAGAGGAACACCATTTACAGTGCAGCAGGCAACGGGTGTGCATACGCATGGGACGTGGTGAGTATAGATGAGATGAGACATGGTGGTTGGGTTAGTAGAGGTTAGAAAGGGGGGGTTGCTTGGGACTTCTCCTGCTCTGATTCTCTTTGATGCCTCAACACGCGCTGCCTCACTTTCTTGTTTCCACCTCTCGCCCGCTTCCATTTCATACACGTGCTTCGCCTTTCCACCTCTCAACTCAAAAGTCAACTCGCTTCCATTTTATACACTTGCTTCGCCTTTCCACTTCTACACACGCCTATCTCCCCCTTACTTTTCTGCCTGAAGCAAGGAGATTTTCTAGGCGCCTCAAATCATGCCTTCCTCCCCCTTACTTGCCCTCCCTCTCATGTGCTTTTTCAGGAGTCTCAGAAGCGGGTCGCTGAGTTTAGGGGCCACTCAGACTACCTGCACTGTGTGGTGGCACGGCCGCAGCACCACCAGGTGAGAACAAAGCCAGGTGAATGTAAGCGCCAGGTGAATGTAAGCGCCAGGTGAATGTAAGCGCCAGGTGAATGTAAGCGCCAGGTGAATGTAAGCGCCAGGTGAATGTAAGCGCCAGGTGAATGTAAGCGCCAGGTGAAAAAAAACAGAGCCAGGTAGTATTAGTCATGAACAGCAGATGTGGTCAGGTCAGAAAACAAAAAAGCGGGTGGTGTCGCTACTGCAAAAAAAGAATAGTTCCAATTGGTCCTTTAACCTTACCTTCTCACAAGCTCGCTTTCCCTCTCTTACCCTCTCCCACACCCCCCCCCTCCCGCTCAACCCGTTGACCCTCACTCTCTTCCTCCTCCCTCCCCACCCGCCGCCCCCACTCTCCCCCTCTCACTCTTGTCCTGGTCTACCTCTCACCTTGCCTGGCGACTCACATAGTGACAGGGTCAGAGGGTGGCGTGTGCTGAGTGGGTTGGGTGGCATTGCTTAGATGTTCTATTCTCTACCTCTCCTCTCTCCTGTCCTTTTCGGTCCCCTCCCCCACCCCCATTCTCCCTCGTCGCCTGCTACCTCCTCACCCCCTCTCTCCCCCCCCCCACTCCCCGTCACCCTCACCCTCTGCTTCCCCTTCCCCTTTCCCGTCCTCATCCCCCTCCCCTACCCCTACCCGTACCCCTACCCCTCCGCTCACCTCAGATAGTGACGGGGTCTGAGGACGGCACATGCCGAGTATGGGGTGGGTGGGGCCGCTGGGCTGGCATGCTGTGATGTGGTGGAATGGGTTGGCGCATGCACATATGTGGTGCAGACATGAGTATGCGTTTGATCCAACTGAAATTCATGTGGACGCAGGCATGGGCATGGATATGGGGAGTGGGCATGTGCATGTGCATGGGCATGGGATGGTGGGCATGAACTTGAGGTTCTTGGCAGGTGTATTCATCAACATCCCTCGCTGCTCCTTTTCTCTGACCCTCCTACCTGCCGCCTGCCCGACCTCAAGCAATTCTTGTTCTCCCTCTAACAGCCCTTTCATCGTCAACTTAGCTGCCAATTCCATACGTAACCCTTCCTTCCTATTGGCCCTCTCATCTCCCAGTCTTCTCATCCCCCCCAGTCTTCTCCATTCATCCTCACCATCCTCTCAACCTCTCTCCTCCTCCCTCCTCTCATCTCCTCCCACCCCACCCACCAGATTGCCGCACAGCCACCACAGTGCTGTGTCTCAACCCCTTCACTGCGCGCCAAGCACCCCTCTCCCCCTCTTCGTCCTCCTCCCCTGCCTCGCCTTGGGTCAGCAGTATAGCAACTGACTCCACAACTCCATGGCTGGTGAGTCCTTTTCAGTCGTCTCAAAAGCACCCCTCTCCCCCACCTCCTCCACCTCCTCGCCCTCTTCCTCCCTCTCCCCGCCTTGGGTCAGCAGTGTAGCAGTCGACTCCAAGGCTCCCTGGCTGGTGAGCCATCACTCTCACCCCTCCCATCCCCCTCATCTCTCTCTTCCCCTCATCTCCCGCACCTGCCCTCATCTCTTGCATGTCTCTCATCTCTCACACTCTCTGATCTTGTAACCAAGTGCGCGTCTGAGTCGACTCACACTCATTTCTTCACCTCCTCATCTCCGGTATGCACCTTTTCTCATCGTCCCTTCCCTCCATCCACCTCACTCCCTCCCTCCTTTCCCTTCCCTCCCTTCCCTCCACTGCCTCTGTTGCCGCCCCTTCCGCCGGCTTGCCGCCCGCCCTCTCCTCTGCTGCCCCCCCTCTCCTTGCCGCCCGCCCTCTCCTTTGCTGCCCACAGCTGTGTGGCACAGGCGGCAGCACGGCGTCTCTCTTCTCGCTGCAGGCACCCGCCTCTGCACTGCTGCGTGTGTCTCTTGGCGCGCCAGTGCATGCGGTGGCCATGGGGAGGGATGCGGATGAGGTGAGAGAGAGTCATGGGGGAGGCATGGTGGGTGTCTTTGGGCCCAGTCATAAGGCTCTGCTGCACATGTTTCTTGGCGCACCAATGCATGCTGTGGCCATGATGAGAGACGCGGCGGATGAGGTGATGGCATGGAGAGGGCGTAAACGAAGATGGGAGGGTTTCAATTGTGCTGGTTGGTGCAATTTCAGCTGTCAGTGCTGCTTGAAGGTTCTCATTTGTGGAAGGAGATGGCGACAAAATGTATCCAAATCATTTCTTTAAGCAACAATCCGATCATTACGCAAAGCTGTGCAGCAGCAATCCCAGCTCTAGTCCGACTATTTTTTATTGGTTAACTGGCATTGTTGTTCCATATTTACTAACCATACTACAACCATTGAAAAAAGTCAGACTAGTGCCGGGATTGTTGTTGCACAATCTTGCATAATGATCGTATTGTCGCTTAAAGAAAGGATCTGGATACATTTCGTTGCCGTCTCCTTCCACAATATCAGAACATTTCAAAAAAACCATGACAAGGACCCGAATTACACCAACCTGTATAATCAATTACAGCACTAGTCATCTGGCGCTGCTGCACGTGTCTCTGAGCACACTAGTGCATGCGATGGCCATGGGGAGGGACGCAGATGAGGTGAGAGAGATGGGGGGCGCATGGGTGGGGCATGGGGGCGGGCCATGGGGCCGGGGCATGGGGGCAGGGCATGGGGGCGGGGCATGGGGGCGGGGCATGGGGGCGGGGCATGGGGGCGGGGCATGGGGGCGGGGCATGGGGGCGGGGCATGGGGGCGGGGCATGGGGGCGGGGCATGGGGGTGGGGCATGGGGGCGGGGCATGGGGGATGTGGCAAGGGCTGTCATGTGCCCAATCGTCTGGCTCTACTGCACGTGTCTTCAGCGCGCCGGTGGACATGGGGAGAGACGTAGATGAGGTGAGGCATGGGTGGGGCATCAAGTATGATGAGGTGAGGCATGGGTGGGGCATCAAGTATGATGAGGTGAGGCATGGGTGGGGCATCAAGTATGATGAGGTGAGGCATGGGTGGGGCATCAAGTATGATGAGTGAGGCATGGGTGGGGCATCAAGTATGATGAGTGAGGCATGGGTGGGGCATCAAGTATGATGAGTGAGGCATGGGTGGGGCATCAAGTATGATGAGTGAGGCATGGGTGGGGCATCAAGTATGATGAGTGAGGCATGGGTGGGGCATCAAGTATGATGAGGTGAGGCATGGGTGGGGCATCAAGTATGATGAGGTGAGGCATGGGTGGGGCATCAAGTATGATGAGTGAGGCATGGGTGGGGCATCAAGTATGATGAGTGAGGCATGGGTGGGGCATCAAGTATGATGAGTGAGGCATGGGTGGGGCATCAAGTATGATGAGTGAGGCATGGGTGGGGCATCAAGTATGATGAGTGAGGCATGGGTGGGGCATCAAGTATGATGAGGTGAGGCATGGGTGGGGCATCAAGTATGATGAGTGAGGCATGGGTGGGGCATCAAGTATGATGAGTGAGGCATGGGTGGGGCATCAAGTATGATGAGTGAGGCATGGGTGGGGCATCAAGTATGATGAGTGAGGCATGGGTGGGGCATCAAGTATGATGAGTGAGGCATGGGTGGGGCATCAAGTATGATGAGTGAGGCATGGGTGGGGCATCAAGTATGATGAGTGAGGCATGGGTGGGGCATCAAGTATGATGAGTGAGGCACGGGTGGGGCATCAAGTATGATGAGTGAGGCATGGTGGGCATGGGGAAGGCATGGGGAAGGCAAGTGCGAGCGAGGCATAGGGGAGGCATGGGGGGGACATGGGGGGGGCATGGGCAAGGTTCTTTCCTATCCATCCCCATGTGTCGCCTTACTGCATGCATCTACCCTTCATCCTTCATATCAACGATTCCACTCGCCTCACCTACCCATCCACCACTCCACCCCTCTTCACCCCCATTTACCCCTTTTCCCCTGCACCAACTCTCCCATCCTCCCGTCTCCTGTTCCCCTTCCCTCTCCCCCCCGTCAACACACCTCCCCCTCTCTCCCTGCTGGCCACTAGCTACTTGTGGCAGGAGCCAGCGCTGTGTTGACTTGGTTGACTTTTCTTTAGGTGGCTAATAACCTCTTTCCCTCTTCCCCGCTGCCGCCCCTCTCGCTCTTTCTCTCTCTGCATCGCATCAGATACTAGTGGCGGGAGCCAGCGCTGTGTTGACTCGGTTAACTTTTGCCGGCCAGCTCAAGTCACTAACTGCCACGGCCATGCCATCCATCTACTCCCTCCATTCACATTCGCCGTCCCAGGTAACACCTTCCCAGGTAGCACCCTCCCTTCCAGGTGGCAACACCCTTTTACAACAAGGCCTTCTTTCTAGACATTTATCTCCCAGGAATGTAAAATTCCTGTTGGTTAACAGGTTGCCAGAGGTCGATGGAGATTGGCAGAGGTTGGCAGAGGTTGGCGGAGGCTGGGAGATACGTCTTAACAAGGGGCAGGTGCTCCTTGTTGCATGAAAGTTGCCTCTGCCTCTCACTGCGTGCTCCCCTCAGCTCCTCCTATTGGTGTGTCAGGAAATCTGTCTGACTTCCTCCCAACCCTACCTCTCCATTTTCACGCTTTCTCTCTCACACTCTCACTCCTCACTCTCTCCTCAATCTTCTCTTCCTCACTGTCCCCCGCATTTCCACTGTGTGCATGATGCCCTATCTCTGACGCTCCTCCCTCACTCCCTCTCAACCCTGCAGGGATTTTTTTATAATTATCAAATGGTCACTGTCCCCCCGTTTCTACTATGTGTGCGTGCGATGCCCTATCTCCAACACTCCTCCCTCGTTCCCTCTCAACCCTTTGCTTGCTCTCTTCTTCCCTTCACAGCTTGTGGCAGTGGCGGGGAGAGGGGGGACGGTCGATATAATCACCAGCATTGGCAGTCACCTGGCCACTTTTCAGTGCGCCTGACAGTGAGTGGATAATAGTGTGTTTGGTAATCATTACCCGTCTAAATGTATGCGTACATGTCAGGCATGGTAACAGTGGATTGAACTTGGCACAATGTGCCATTAGGCTAATATCTGGTTGCCAACATTCGGTTGCACTATGATTGTATTCTTCTCACTGAATATTACAGCTTGCTCCTGTGCCCCTGCCAAGGCAGCGAGCCTAGCTGCTTTGCTCTCTCCCGCAGCAAAAACTTTTGGATCTTGCCCGTCGCAGTCTTGGGCAGCGCGCCGAATACAACGCTCTTGGGTGCCATAAAGTGTGGCAGATGCTCTCGGCAAAACAGAATGATATCTTCCTCAGATACCACCTGCCCAGATCCCACCTTCTCAACCCCTCCTGCACTGGCAGCATCAGTTGCACCATCAGTCGCAGCTCCACCGGTAACCGTGTAACCAGGTTTGAGGCCCACAAAGGCACAAGGTGTTTCACCCCATTTATCATCAGGTCTAGCCACCACTGCTGCTTCCATCACTGCAGAATGCCGGTACAACACCCCCTCCACAGCAATACTGCTTATATTCTCCCCTCCAGAGATGATTATATCCTTAGAACGGTCTTTAATCTCCACATAACCATCTGGGTGCACCACGGCCAGATCTCCCGAGTGGAACCACCCACCCGCAAACGCAGCAGCTGTCTCCTCCCTCCCATGTAGATACCCCCGCATAACTGTATTCCCTCGAAACACCACCTCGCCTATAGTCACACTGTCCATAGGCACAGGCCGGAGCGTCCTATTATCAACCACTGTAGCAGTCTGCAACCCGATGTGCCGCACGCCCTGCCGAGATTTGATTCTCGCGCGGTCGGGCAAGGGTAAGGAGTCCCAGCGGGGTTTCCAGTCACAGAACATAGCCGGGCCATAGGTCTCTGTTAATCCATACGAATGGCTAACGTCGAAGCCTAGCTGTTCCATTTGAGCCAAAATGGCTGCTGGGGGAGGGGCACCTCCTGTCAGTACCGTAACCCTCTTGGTAACCCTGTTGCTTATCCTGCTGGTTACCCCATGCTGTTGCTCATCGTTACCCCACCCTATCTGCTGCACCTCCCCTCGTTCCTCTCCGTTCCCTCCTCGCCTAGCTCCCAGCAACGCCTTATCCTCCTCATCAGCATTCACCATCAGATTCAGCATCACCGGCACCCCCACCATCACCTCCACCCCTCTCTCCGCCACCGCCGCAAAAATCGCGCGAGCACTCACATTTCTTATAAGCACACCTGTGCCGGAGACAGCAGGGAGCGACCAGCTGAAGCACCACGCGTTGCAGTGGAAGAGCGGGACAGAGAGCAGGAACACCGCGTGCGTGCGCAGCTGCACCATAAGTGCGGCGCTTAGCGCGTTTAGGTAAGCGCCACGGTGGGAGTAGACCACGCCCTTGGGTTGTGCTGACGTGGTGCCTGAGGTGTAGTTGATGGCTATTGGGTCCTGCTCATCCCATGGTTGGTGGGATGCCCACCAGTCGGAATTTGCCACGTCAGCGACGAGAGGGAGCAAATGCGGGCGTGAAACAAAGGGATCGGTACTAAAAGCAGTATTGGCACTACCTGAGTGATCAACACCAAAAGCATCCCCACCAGCAGCAGCATCACCATCACCAGCAGTGGCAGCAGCTGCTAGGGCAGTTGCAAGTTGGGAACCAGACACAGGCCCAATGCATGGCACAGCTGCTATCCACTCCTCATACTCCCCCACCGCTCCCAACCCCTCTGTATCCGCCTGCTCGCCGCCCGGATCCGCCATGTCAGCAGACGAGTGAACCTCGTCATCCGCTATTAGCACGATTTTTGGACGCACGTGGGATGTGTGGGCGGGAGTGGCAGTGGTGGGGAGTAGGGAGAGTGCAGAGAGAGCGAGAGACGCCAAGTGTTGGTCCACCAGAAGAATCTGAAGTGGGGGAAAGAAGGGGGGGAGAGATAAGGAGGAAGGAGGACGTGGGAGAGGGGGGAATGGAAATACGAGAGTGGAAGAGTGTGATGAGTGTTATGGGGGAGGGAGGGTGGGAGTGAGAGTAGGGTTGGGGAGGGAAGTGGCGAGAGAGAGGAGGAAGGGGCGAGCGCGAGAACAGAGAGAGGTGCACACAAGAGAGCAGAAAGGGAGCAGAGAGAGCAGCGGGAGCATTAGAGGGAATTTTCTCGCATTCAAACCGCTTGGCACCACATGGCACACCTTGCTATCGCTGTGCGCGAGAATGCGCGCGACGGAGGCGGCATCGAGGCGCGCGTTGACGGACACGAGCACGGCGCCCGCGAGCGGCACGCCGAACTGCGCCTCGTACGCCGCGGGCACGTTCGGCGCAAGCACCGCCACGCGCTCGTATCTCCGCGCGCACGCGCGCTCCAGCGCCGCGGCGAGCTGGCAGCAGCGGAGGAAGGTTTGCGCCCACGTGAAGCGCCGCCGGCCGTAGATCACGGACGGCGAGTCGGGATGGACCCGCGCCGCCCTCTCGAGGAAAGTCAGCGGTGTGAGCGGCGCGTAGTTCGCCGGTCCACGCGGCATCGCGGCCTCGTCGAATATGTGCGACTCCGGTGGAGCCATCGCGACTCGATGTCGCGCTGGTAGAAGATAGCGTGGCGCGCTAATAGTGCAACCGTCGCGGCACTAGAAGGAGCAACGTGCCCAACAGCGATACGAAGCAACAGAAAGCAACCACGGATACAACTAGCAGGGTCTGACTTTCCACACTCCGTGGTCCCTCGTAAAAGTGACTTAGCACTAATCAAGTGTGCAGGTTTGAATGGCTTCACTCCGTGATCCATGATCCATCCCGCCACTGCGACTGCGCAGTTGGCGGCGCTGCGGCGACAGCAGCGCATGAGATTTGCCATGCGGCAGCATGGCAAATGTGGGATCGTGGTCTGGAAAATCCGTGCTATACGCCAGTGCACGATGCTCTACAGTCCGAAATTACAGTTATGCACTTAGAATATAGACCTATATTCCTATCAAACCAACTACAGCATGTAGATAGCCGACGATCAATTTCCTAACCCGATTGAACGCATTTTACCGCTTTCTACAGCCACATATTTTCTCCCGTCAGCTTTAGCCCTCTAGCCAGCAGGAAGCAGCAGCTGCTGCTGCACCAGCTGGTCTTTCCGCCGCACCAGCTGCTCCCTCGCCTCTCTCATGCCCACCATCTCCGCGGATTTACGCCGCATATCGCCTGCAATGGAGGCATGATGACAGAAACACGCAAGGAAAACCCACATGTTCAGGCAGACTCAAAAACGCACAGAAGCTTGTAAAACAACGAGCATGCCAAGTCAGCTTGAATAATAATAAAACGCATGCATGCTCTCTGATCGCCCGTCTTACCTCGTACCTCGCCGCTTCTGTACTGCGCGTGAAGGGCGGCGAGCTCCAGTTGTCTCAAATCAGTCATCATCTCGTGCATCGCGACCTTTAGCATCGCCCTTAACTCCTGCGCGCTGCTCCCAACCCCATCACACCCCACAACCTCCAGCATATCTTCCTCTTCGTCATCATATAGGCTTCCCATGTCATCCTCCGTGCCTTCCCCCTCCACCGCTTCCCCCAATGTACCCTTCCCGCCCGTCGCCCCGTCTTTACATTTCATGTCCTGCTTCTCCGATATCCGTGCAATGAGGCTTTCAATAACGCGTCGTCGCTCCGCCATCCCCGTTTCCATGCTCCGCACCTGCTTCACCCCTTCCGCCAGTTCCGCGCTCATCTGCGCACGTTCCCGCCTCACTGCGTCAATCTGCGCGCTCTTCAACGCAATCAGCGCGTCCAAGCACCCCGCCGCGCGCGCGGCGCGCGCGGCGCCGTCCTCCACCCGCATCACTGGGGCAACGGTGCTGCCTGCCGCGGCGACTCCGCGCATCCTATTTTCCTTCTTCTCCGCGGCGGACCACGTGACCGTGCGGCGGCTGCAGGCGCGCGGCGTGGTGGCATGATTGGCGCTGGCGGGATGATCGTCGACAGAATCACTCAGGCTGAGGCGCATTTTCCGCCCGTCCAGCACTCCGCGCGGTCCTCCCACCCCACTTACGGCGAAACCCGTTCCATGTTGGTGGACATGCGCGCTGGATTCGGCATTGGAGTCCGAGAGTTTGTCAAACAGACCACGTGGTTGCAACGACGACACGTCGGCGGTTCGATAGGACGAGCTTCGATAAGAGCTTCGATAGGACGAGGTTCGGTACACCTCATCCTCACTGCAATCGCTTTCCTCGATCCGGAAGGGCGTTCTGACGACAAAGTCTTGCGATTTCCGTCTGGCTGACTCCCGCAGCGGCAGCATCGGCAGCTCGTCTTTGCCGCCGCTCCCATTTCCGACGGCTTTGCCACCGCTTGTGCGACTCGTTGCGCGCCATGCACATCGAGGATTAAGTTTAAAAAAATCCTCTGCCACCCCGGACTCCTCGCGCTCCGCGAGGGTATTCAACGTGGCAAGGTCTGCGGCAGATCGCGAAAGTCTCATTCGCGCACCGCCTCCGGGCCATGGTGTTAACCTCGGGTTACAAACGCCACTTGGCGACTGGTTACCACTCGGCGGTCGAAATTCTTCGCAGTAACTGTTGCGACGAGGGCGGCTGTTCCCGCTGTTGCTGCCGCTTCCGCTGCCACCGTAGCCGTTGCTACTGCTGCTGCTGCTGCTGCTGCTGCCGCTGCTGCTGCCGTTGCTGCTGGTAGTGCTGCTGCTCCTACGCATCATGCAAGAGGTACGGCACGTGCTGACCGCCGCGGCCATGTCCAAGCTCGCCCGCGCTTTCTGCTTGATTTGAGGACCCCGCGGCGCAAGTAGAAGTACCGATTCCGCTCGCTCCGTCGCAGCCGCATCGTACTCGTCAAAGGGACTGCCAGTCTGGATGCAGCGAGCTGCTGCGCGATTCACTAAGGACGAGATCCCGCCGCTCGGCGGGGAGCGTGCGGCTTCCTCCGTCACGCGGCGGAGGACGGGCTCGTGGGCGCGTCTGAGGAGCGACCGGGGGGAGGGCTCCGGGGGAGAGCAGGGCGATGGAGGAAGCCTTCCTGCGCAATGGTCCGCGACGTCTTCCGCGCCCGTATGATGGTGAGCGCGGGGTGAGTATGGGGCGGACACGTCGCCGCGAACGGGAAGCTGAAAGCACGGTCGCTCACATTCGCCGCGTGAGGAACGAATCATAGCACAACGAATATTATCATTTGTTACGCACGCCATTGCAGCCCGCTTCCCACGAAGAACATCAGCTGGTTGCGTGCTGTGTAGCATGTGCCGTACCGGATGTCGGGCTTGAAGTAGCAGTAGTGCTGGAAGTAGGCTTGGGGCGATCTCTATTTCTGGATGATAAGGATGTGCAACTGTGAAGGTTGTTCTTCGAGACGGTGGATGGCGAGGCTTTCAGGCCGAAGGGTTATCTCACTAGAAAGGCTTCGTCGCCTCCTCTTCGTCGAAATCTTGGGACAGATAAGGCGTTCAACAAATTCTCTTAGACTAAACTCGTGAGGTGTGGCGGATGATACGGATTAGTTGTAGAACAGCTTGTTGAGAGAAATGCTCCAGTGCCTTGTTTGATGATTCGCTCTTGCCCACAAGTCCCCGAATTGCTCGCGTGGCCATCGAATTCAATGATAATTGCTCGAGTGGCCACGCCTGGGGATTTTCGAGGTGTTTGTTTTCCCCAGCACATTACCCTACAAGGAATTTAGCCCTGAAATTCCTCTCACGTACTCGTCTCATCCCGCGCAAGCGTTGCGTACTATTCCCCACTCGAATAATTCCCCAAAGTGGGCGGACACGAACATGGCCCACTCACTGTACACGAAAACGACAAATAATAACGACCAGCAGTACATGAGCGCTCAATTTCAGCCCAATGCGCGACCAATGAGCGCTCGGTCAAACGAATTCGTAACCAATAACCGCTCGAGCATATATATCCGCGATCATACAGGTAATTGCGCGGTTTCATTTATCCGAAACTTATGATCGGAACTTTATAAGACCGTGTATGATTGAACGCGCAGGGTCTAAATACGCCACGCGCATAAAACGGACTAATCACGTAATGTCTAAATATGATTGGTCCGTTTTATGCGCGGGGAATATTAGACATTGCGAAAATTTCGAGTGGGGAATATTACCCAACGCTTGCGTGGGAGGGGACTTTCGGGGCTAAATTTCTTGAAGGGTAACAAAACTCCTCGAAAATCCCCTGGCGTGGCCACTCGAGCAATTATCACTGAATTTGATGGCCACGCGAGCAATTCGGGGACACGTAAGCAAGAGCGAATCACCAAACAAGGCACTGGAGCAATTCTCTCAAAGCTTGTTTCAGGTGGTGACATTTGGGGGGGTGGGAGAGTGGGGACAGAGGTGTGCGGTCTGCGAGAGAATTGCTCCAGACCCTTGTTTCGTGATTCGGTGAAGCACACGTGGCTACCGTTTGCTCGCGTGGTCCTACAATTGACTGATAATTGCTCGAGTGGCCTCGCAAGGGGATTTATAAGAAACCTTACCCTTCTAGGGTATTTCTCCTCGAAAGTTTTGTGCTGGTTTTCGCACGAAGGTTTATATTCGAAATTTAAGTTCGTGACCCTATATGATCGCACCTGATTGGACGCGCATATAATCGACCAATCATGCGCGGCCATTAATGGTCGGGCGCATCATATTAATGTCCGATAATATATTTCCACGATCATAAACTGCAATGCCCGGGCGTCAATACGCGGGACCTTTAATGACCGCGCATGATTGGTCGATTATATGCGCGGAGCTTTTAATTTGCAATGCGCGTCCAATCAGGAGCGGTCATATGGGGTCACGAACATAAATTTCGGATATTGAAGATCGCGCAATTATCAATACAGAGCTTTCGAGGGTGCAAACACTTGTAGGGTAATGCTCCGGGTAAAACAAAACCAGCGGGATTCCCCTGGCGTGGCCACTCGAGCAATTATTACTGAATTGGATGGCCACCCTAGCAATTCGAGGCAACGTGGGTAAGAAAGAATCACTAAACAAGGCTTTGGAGCAGCTCTCTCGCAGTCTGCTTTGCATAGCATCCATCGAAAGATTTTTGGTACACATGATGCCCACCCCCTGCACGCGAAAAAGCCCTGCACATTTCGGAAACCTTACACCCGTGGGTTTTTTGCCCTGGTGTTGCACCTATGGTATAAGCACCTGAGACCACTTGCATCTACCAGGTGAATACTCCCAAACTGGGCAACACAGCAAAAGACAAACGTCAGACGGTTGGCCTGTCCCTGTTTTTAAGTCAGAAACAGAAGCTACGAAATGTAAGGACAAAATTCGTGAAACGTCGCCACCCAAAATTGATGTTACGTCATGCCACCTGTGCATCAACCAGGTGCGCCTAACAGTTCGTGTTTGTGAGGTAACTCCGACGTGTACATTGCCAATGCTCGGTACATGCCCCTTGTGAGCCTCACAGTTCGCAAACAACACACGTCACTATTCGTAGATGTGGTTACCCAGTCTCATAATCTCTTGAAACTGCGATAGATGCATGTTCATCTCGCAGCAATTGCGAAACCTCGCACACTCTCGAGACATAGTGACTAATCCGAGCGCCATTGCACCAGCATAAATCCACTCGACAACCAGCACTGCAATTCATGCTTAGTTATCTTAACATTCTCGCCAGATGCCTCGTCTCTACCATAGGTCTCAGCTTGCGCTGCACATCAAGCGGGCCATTTGTGCCCATCATCAGGCAAACCCTCTGCTGCGCCACGTGGACCTCGCACGATGGTGTTTCACGCGTTTTGGTGTGAGGCCCGACCGTTCGACCATTGGTCGCGTTCTCAAAGGCGCCGACCGGTGGGACGTTCCTGATGACGCCGTGGACGCCATTCGCGTCCGCGGCGGGGCATACCCCGCCCTGGAGCGCTCGATGGCACGATGGATTTCGAATGCAGGCCCCGTTGGCGTCCCTCTGACCCTCGCCACTATTCGCGACCATGTTGCGACGATGGCGCGTGCGAACGGCGTTCCGCCGACTTTCCGTTGCTCCATCGGCTGGGTCCGCCGTGCGCTGCGCCGCCAGGGAGTACGGTGCATGAGCGCGGTCGGCGAGGCGGCCGACCAGGATCTCAACGCAGTGCGCACCACTAAGGAGAAGCTTCCTCAGCTTCTCATGCATCTGGGCGTGCGCCCGCGTGATACTTTCAACTTCGACGAGACTGCGCTGTATATCAGCGTGCTTCCTCGCAAAACGTACGGCACGGGCAGGTCGGCCGGGCGGAAGGTTTCGAAGGACCGCCTGACCGTCGGCTTCTTGGTTAATGCGGACGGGACGCACGCATTCCGTCCGCTTGTCATCTCCAAGGCTAAGCGGCCACACGATTTCAGGCCGGATTTCGACCCCGAGGAGTATTGCTACTGGCGCAACACCGCTAAGGGGTGGATGACCAAAGCCGTGAGTCCGTTTTTACACTTTTTAAACGCCTCGTTAGTATCGTACCCGATGTTGCCTAACATGTACCCGATGTCGGCTATGTTTTTTATCATGACAAAGCCGCCTAACCTACCCCAACTTTCCCTACACCTCTTTGTGTTACAGCTCTTCACGCACTTTTTTTAGCAGCTCGACACCGCTATGTACGCAGAGGGCCGCCAAGTCGTCGTGCTGCTCGACAACGCGAGCAGTCACACACTGACAACCGAGGGCGCCGAAACCGAGGATCTATTCGGGTTCCGCACGCGAAAGCTCAGTAACGTGCGCCTCGTCTGACTGCCGCCGAACACCACCTGCTTCACGCAGCCACTCGACCAGGGGATGATCGCCATGACGAAGGCGCGGTACCGCCAGCACTGGCTCCGCGCCTTCACCGGCATGTGGACTGCTGATGGCGCGACTTCCGCGGCGGCAAGGTTCAAGCTGAACCTCCGTCGCGTGCTGGAATGGCTCCATGACGCGTGGATGAATATCCCGCACGTCACTATCCAGCGCTGCTGGTGGCGCACCGAGTGCCTACCGCGGGCGTGGGCGATGGAACTCCCGCACGTGGAACAAAGCGGCGACTCACAAGTCCAGGCTGGGGGTGACATTGGCCTGGACGAGGAGCTGAACGACGTAGGCGTTTTAATCGATCGACTCGGCCTCGGGCCGTCCGCGCTGCCTGCTTCCGAGTTCGTCGGAATTGACGACAACCAGCCGACGTGCGCCGAGCCGGGCGAGGACCCCCTGGCGCGGGAGCCGGCGTCGGCGCAGACGACGAATATGTGGGAGGCGCCGGCGGCGACGCAAGCGGTGTACGACGATAACAACCCTGCGACGCGCGAAGCTCGTCGCACTGCACGCGCTGCCTGCGAGATGCTCATTGGGTACGCGCGTGCGACGTGCATCACGCCGAGAGATTTGTGCGCGCTGTTTGACATCCGCAACCCCATGATCATCGCGCGGATGGAGCGTAAAAGCCCGGCACTTAATCTTAACGCTACTCCGCCGCCAGCGCCGACACACGAGGACACCCCGCCGGCTGAGACTCCACGTCGCCGCGGTCGCCTTTTGCCGGCGTGGATGGCGGTGCCGACCCCTGACTGGGTTGCCCAATCTGCTCGCCGGCAGGAGCTTATCGACGCTGGCGCTCCCGCCGTGATGAGCGGATATCTCGCTGCAGCAGAGTGGATGAGGCTGTGAAATTCACTCTGCATTGTGCAAAATTCAGCATTTGCACAAGTGTGCACGACTCATGCACAAATGTGGTAAACGGTGACTGCATAACGCAGCAGGGCCGGGGAGAGGGGGGGGGGGGGGGTTGGGGAGGTTGTTTGTTTGTCGCGTCAGAGACAGTTGTGGCTATCCCATTCGTTCATTGATGTTTGTGATGAAGGGAGAGGTGAATTGTAATTGCATGTGATAGTTGGGTCTCGATAAATGTGGTAACCCAGTGCATTAGCGCGCAACAAAGGACGCCGCCCAACACTATACATGGAAAAAACAAACATGTTACCGCCTGTGCTTTTTATAAGCACCCAACGGCCCAGGCGATGTTGACGAACCATGCGAAATGCGCAGATCAGTTATAAGCCCAGAAGACAAGGGAACGACGGGGGACTATAACGCGCATCAGGTGTAATCTTTAGCCGCAAATGCAAGCCGGATGCCAGCGACTCCCCCTCGAGCAAGGTCTTGCCCTACAGTCACTATTGTCCCGATAACGCAGTGAATGACGTGTCCGTTCGAAACCAGACCAATGAGGTGCACCGGGGCTGCTCTGTGCCAGACTGTTTTCTCGGACGACTCGGATATGCGGACCCGCCCTCCTCGTCACTGTGCTTCGTGGCCTCATACGTGTAAAGCGCGCCACTGCCATGCCCGCAGAAAACCGCTACTGTTCTTCGTCAACATCGCCAACAGAACATTTCGTGATTCACCACTTTTGTGGTTTCATCTACGTGTGTCTGCTTGTACCAAAAAGGTATATCAAGTGTCGACATGTGTATGGTTGTCGCATTGCTCTGAGGTGGACGCCATTACCGATGACAGGGCTCCCCGCCCCACCCCAATTGTATCCCGAACAAGATTGGATCACCCCAACAGAAATATCCAAGTAAGCCAACTGGCTTCATCTAGCACCACAAAAGACTCTGATCATTGATAGCGTACGGTGGTGAAGGCAGAGCACGTGTACAGTATCATTGGCTGTGATGCTCGCAAGCTGTCGCCTCTCAATGCTTGTGATGTGAATCCAGCTGGTCATCATGAAACACGCACACATTCTTCCTACACCTAGTCCGCGGTATTTTAACCAGGTGAACTTTGTTCTTTCAAACCCCCTTTGTTCGTTTCTGGGTAATGTTATTAGCACCCAGAGTCATGGAGTCTACGATTCTACAGCCGAAAGCACTTCCGTCTAAGGAACTCACACTTAGTGCTCCAAGATAGACGGATTGACATTTGTCACACTCAGCATTCACTGAGTTTTTCCTGCTGGCATCTCTCGAAGGGAATGCTAGATTCTACCCTCGTAAAGTTTGAAACAACCCGACTAAATAAGTTTGATAAAGGAGAAGTACCCTCGCGTGGTTAAGATAGCGCCGGTTAAAATACCGCGGACTAGGTGTAATTGATACCAGTACTGTAACAATGAACGGACTATATCAGTGTATCAACCCCATTTCAATACGCTCCACCCCACATTCTGCTTTCATAATGTTGCTATGGTGCTCTGAGGGATAGTATGATGCGTACCTACTCAGGGATGGTGGTTGGCTTGGCATCTACCCAGCTTCATAAGCTACAACCACCACCATTCCTCTAATCATTCAGCGTCAGCTTTGTAAGAATATGAATGAATCCCATGTCTCAAGTACTGTTACGGATGCAATGAATCGAAGTAGAGAAAATTGCACTAAGGTGTGAAACGAGTACAAAGAAATGAGCGAAGGCATGAGCGAACATTTATACGTGAAACATGCAAACGGTAACGCGGTGCGTGCGAGCTAGCTAGTGCTATGCTGGCAGCAAGGCTCGGGCTAGTCCCGAAGCGTAGGCCGACACTGTTGAGCCAGAAGTGCGAGGTTTGACAAAACATTGCACGCGAAGTTGGCGAAGTCCCGTTAGCAGTAACTGTCAAAACATATAGCTTACTTATTTCTGTAGGCTATAGTAGGGTATCCCATAGGGGGTACAACCCAATTAGGGTTTCATATTTGTACTCACTTCATTTCATGGTCATTCATCCTCGTTCACATTTTCTCATGGAATCAGAGCAGGTCCCTTCTTAGGGCCTGTTCCTAGGGCTCACCGAAGCGCGCCCCGAGGCGCGCATTTTTTTTTAGCGACCCTCCGCGTCGCCCTCCTCGTCGTGCTCCCGCTTAGGCCCCTAGTCGGCCCCGCTTAGGCCCCACGTCGGCCCCGCGTACCCCCGCTTAGGCCCGTCGGCCCCGCTTCGGCCCCGCGTCGGCCCCTCGTCGCCCCGCTTAGGCCCGTCGGCCCCGCTTCGGCTCCGCGTCGGCCCCGCGTCGCCCCGCTTAGGCCCGTCGGCCCCGCTTCGGCCCCGCTTTGGCCCCGCGTTGGCCCCGCTTAGGCCCCGCCGGCCCGCCTAGGCCCCACTTCGGCCCCTCGTCGGCCCCGCCACGGCCCTACGCCGGCCCCGCTTCAGCTGCTGTCGGCCCCGCTACAGCCCGCCACTGGCCTCGCTACACCCCGCCACTGGCCCCGCTACAGCCCGCGCCGGCCCCTGCTACAGCCCGCTCCGGCCCCCTGCTACAGCCCGCCGCCGGCCCAGCTTCAGACCGCCGCCGGCCCCGCTACAGCCCGCCGCCGGCCCTGCTACAGCCCGCCGCCGGCCCCGCTACAGCCCGCCACCGGCCCCTGCTACAGCCCGCCGCTGGCCCAGCTACAGCCCGCCCCGGCCCCGCTACAGCCCGCCGTCGGCCCGCCGTCGGCCCCGCTGCAGCCCTCCCCGCGGCCCCTGCTGCAGCCCACCGTGCTGCACGTGAGCAGCCCCAGCAGCCCGCGCCGCCCGTGAGCCCCTACGCCACCCGAGCCGCGCGAGCCGCCCGAGCCGCCCGAGCCGCCCGAGCCGCCCGAGCCGCCCGAGCCGCCGGAGCCGCCCGAGCCGCCCGAGCCGCCCGAGCCGCCCGAGCCGCCCGAGCCGCCCGAGCCGCCTGAGGAGCTAGGCTGCTGTTCCTCAGCTATGTTCCTCTGCTGCTGACCTACCCGACTCTCCCAGCCCGGTGAGACTTTCAGCTGCTGCCATGGCCACCCCCAATGTTCTTACTTTTGACGCTGAGGGGAGGGCCATTGACTTTGCCGTCTGGATTGAAGACCTGCAGCTGTACTTACTGTGTGATGCGATAGATGAGGTCTCTCTCTTTGACTTTGTCTCTGGCGCTGTCCCTGCCCCACCTGCTGATGCTGACTCTGCCGTTCGCTCCAAGTGGGCGACCCGCGATGCTGCTGCACGTCTTGCTGTGCGTCGCCACCTCCCTTCCTCCGAGCGTGCCCACTTTAGTCAGTGCAAGACCGCTCAGGCCTTGTACGACGCTGTAGTTGCACGCCACTCCTCCCCTTCCTCCGCTACCCTTAGCCGCCTCATGCTACCGTTTCTCTTCCCTGACCTTGCTTCCTTTCCCACTGTCGCTGACCTCGTTACCCACCTCCGTACTAGTGACACCCGCTACCGCGCTGCCCTTCCTGCTGAGTTCCGCGCTGCGAACCCTCCTCCCATGTACATCACTCTCTACTTTCTCGTCACCCGTCTCCCTGAGTCCCTTCGTGTCGTTAGGGACCAGTTTCTCTCTGTCTGTCCCACCACTCTCACTGTCGACCTCCTTGAGGAGTCCCTGCTAGCGGCTGAGAAGAGTATTGTCGCTGTAGGGGCCTCTCGGGGTGACCCTCGCACCCCCATCTTTGAGGGGTGTGGTCCTTCCCCCCTGCTGCCCTCTGTCGCCTCTGCCGCTGCGGCCGATCTCACTGGTTTTGAGTCGGTCGGCGCGGCGTCTGCCCCCAGCGGCAGACGCCGCTCTGGCAAGGGCAAGGGGGGCAAGGGAGCGGGTGGAGCTAGAGGGGGCGGTGGAGGAGGCGGTGGGGGTGGCGGGGGGAGTGGGGGTGGCGGTGGGGGTGGTGGCGGGAGTGGAGGTACTGGTGGCGGCGGTGGAGGCGGAGGTGGCGGCGGAGGTGGTAGCGGAGGAGGCGGTGGGAGCGGTGGGAGCGGTGGGAGCGACGGTCCTGGTGGGGGAGGTGGCGGTGGAGACGGGGGTGGCGGTGGAGGCGGGGGTGGCGGTGGAGGCGGGGGTCGGAGTGGCTCGTCCCAGCGGAGCAGCTCTGGGGGTGGTCAGCGCCAGCAGCAGCAGCAGCAACAGCCGCCGCAGCAGCCACAGCAGCAGCAGCGCTCTCGCACCGTCCCCGGCCCTCAGCAGCTCCGTGAGTGGTACTTGCAGCGTCAGCGTGGTGGTGCGCTTGGTCCCTGCCCCTACGTTCTTCGCACCGGTGACCGTGCAGGGGAGAGGTGTGGAGGCGCCCACACAGCCCGCCGCTGCCTTGGCCGCCTGACCGACGCCTGGCGTCAGCAGTTTCCGGAGGCCGCTGAGATCCCCCGCTGGGGAGAGCTGTCTAGAGCTGGTGTAGCTATTTATGATCTTGATTTTGATGCTATTCTCTCTGCTATGTATGCTGTGACTGGTAGTGATGAGGATGACTGTTACCGGTGTTTCCCGCCCGACCCGGGCATTGGTACTGCCGCGTCAGGTACTAGTGAGGCTGCTGCTCTAGGTGCCAGTGCGTCTGTGCTCTCAGGTGCTGGTGAGTCTGCCCTCTCAGGTACTGTGTCGGCTTCGGCCTCTCACACCTTCACCCTTGACTCTGGAGCGTCTCGCTCCTTCTTTAGGGACCGCACCACTCTCACGCCGCTGAGTCGGCCGGTTGCGGTGTCCCTGGCTGACCCCTCCGGGGGGCCTGTCCTGTCTCGCTTCTCCACTGTCCTCCCGTGTCCGGCGGCCCCCTCTGGCACCCTGACTGGTCTCTACCTCCCCTCGTTCTCGACGAACTTGGTGAGTGGTGCTGACCTCCAGGATGCGGGTGTCCACCAGTTCACCCCTGCTCGTCAGCGGGTGACCCACTGCACGGAGGCGGATACAGGTCGCCACCTGGCTACGTTTACACGTCGGCCAGGGTCGAGCCTGTACACACTG